ATGGCATTTTCGTCACTGATTTAATGGGAATTTATACGTAAATCGATCTAGCACTTTAAACATAAATGACAAATACTAAGACTCGTTTTATATTTAATTCCTAACACATTTATCATGTTTAATTCAAAATATTTCGAGATAAAACAGATAATCAGGAGATTAAAAAGAAATAAACCACAAACTGCGCGCCTATTTTAGCCAGAAATTACAATCTGTGCGCATACACTATTAAAACTACATATTATCATTGGAATTTCTACAGAGGTACGTGTAGGTGTTTTCGATGTAGCTTTGGAAATTTTGCTTTATCGTCAGATTTTATGAGATTTTCATATTGAAAGTCAAAATGTATAATAGAAGTGACAATTAAGTTGGGAACGAAAAAAACATTTATTTTCAGATCACCATCTTGGTGGATGGACTCTCATAGTGTTTCAATTATGGAGTTCTACTATTAGACACATATGTGCCTTGTATGGCGCTTATGTTTTCTAATAATACAAAACAAGCTTGGATAGGCAAGCAGTTTTTAAATATTAGGCACGCAGTTTGGGAAATACATGTGAATATAGGCGCGCAGTTTGACAAGAAAAATGTTTAAATCACGTTTATGGCGTATTATCGTTTTGAACACAAATTTTGCTGTTTTAATCAGATGGAGTGATCCTATATATTCTAGCATACACAGACACAATGGCTGAATAAACGGCAAATGACGATAAAAAGACATAGATATAACTTTACACTGTAAATTTTGAACACAGAAGTTACTTAAGACCCTTATATTGAGATAACTAGGTTTACATCGGGAAAAACATTGAGTACTATGAGTAAATTAAGTTCATCTTCACAGAATGGTACTATCTTTAGAACGAGACTAACCTTGTATTTTTCGTATTTTGGCTCTTTTTGGGAGTCGTGTCCTCCCCGTCTCACATTTTGAAATATGCGCGCAGTTTGTCAGAGTTTCAAATTGCGTGCCTAGTAGGCACGCTGCTTGACATGGGCATCGTGCAATATTTACTAAGAATGGTGCCACAATTGAAGTAAACCTCTGTTTAATTATTTTCAATATACTGTACCTATCAGCAAACGTGTAAATGTTAAAGGCCCCATGTAAAGTTTAAACCACTTTGGCTTATATTGTAGTCTTACCCAATGTTATCAAAGTGTGATATGTGAAACTTTTTTTTAAATTTCAAAAAGTGGTTTTTGATAGACTTTTTGTTCCAAAATTTGTTAATTTATTTAAAACCAACTTTTAGAGGTCACTCATATCTTCTAATTAGCCACAATTCATACCAATTCATAGCATTCATCCTCCCATGTTTTTTGCCGAAAAATTAAGAAAATCGGTTGATAAACAAGCGAGAAATGAACTTATCAGTTCATGAAAATGGTTCTGAGAAAAATGCATTTCAAAATTTTAATTCTCATAGAAACCAATGGTACAATGATATCTAAAACATAATTTATTCTTCCTTTTAACCTGGTTAGACAATCAACATTGTTTTTTATGAAAATCTAGCATATTTAGAAAAGATTGACATCGAAAAAAAAAATTCAATTTTTTTTCAAAAAGTTTTTGTTACCTTAGTGACATCACTAATGTTTCAAAATATTTTTGATAAGCTAAAACATTGAAGTGGCCCATTAAATATGACATTTTATTATTGAAAAAGTGTGTCTTTTGTTCAATCTTTGCATTGGTGTGAAAAAGATAATCTTTTTTGAAATGCATTAAGAAATAATTGATGATTAAGAAATTTCAACTTATTTTGAAAAGTGGCGGGAAATTTGAATATTTGAGAAATGAAATGCTCACAACTTTTTTTTCAAAAAATTTTTTTTGTTCAAAAATCTCTAAAATCACTTTTTAAGTCCTGACAAATAGTAAATGAATGATAAAAAAATATTTTCAAACTTTAGACGGGGACTTTAAATTTGATGTCCTGTTACATAGGCTATTGGTGAAGCAATCTTGGGGATATGGCCTAAATTTCTAAATTTCCACTATGTCCCTGTATACCCCTACTTCAAAAGATGTATGTTATTTGTCATTTTTCATAATGAATTAACCATAAATGTATTTTTTCTTGTTTACATACAGAATTAACTTTCTGTTTTCAAATATTGAAAGATGGTACTGCATTTATTTTTTCATGATATGGAGCAAACAAATGCGTGTCAATTTACACTGTAATATCCCACATACTTATATTTCAAGGTTAGTTTTGAAGAATAATCAAGAAAATCCATGTTTTCACATGAGTTCATCCTTGTCAAAGAACGTAAATGAGGATATGCGGTTTGAAAAACTAACAACATGTTTTAAGTTCTTACAATTCTTGGTTAAAACAAATATTTTGAAAGTTGTGATTTCGAATGTAATATCCAACTCAATGAAATTTGTTGATATTTGTGAATTTTTTCTATCGGAATGCACATTGCTGGATCACAGAACCTTGCCTTGTTCGAGATGCACGAAAAGTGTATTGTTAATACTTGACGTCGTTCTGATATTTGGATGTGATTGACGTTTTCGTTAATTTCCAACCACTGTAGCTTCCAACTTAATTTTTGAAAGCCAAATATGATAGTCACGAATTGATATTTAAGTCACATGTTGATGCATACATCATGCGTGTACGTTAACTGTCGAATACATGCCGACTTACATTTATATAAATATCGTATCGGAATTGAGTATGATATTAGTCGAGGCTTAAACAAAGCAATAAAATTACGTGAAATCTTTTGTGAACGATTTTTCAAGAATCCTCCTTCAAAGTGTTACCACAGTGCTCCCCAGGAGTGGAAATTTCGTAAAAATAATAGCGGGTTGTTGGAATTTTTGTTTGAGTTTATAGCTCAGCATCTATAAATTTAAAAATGTGTCGCCTCATTGAGAGGTACATGCAGATTTTGGCGATCTATCATTATAAAAGGCTAAATTTGGTGCAAAAACAGGAGTTGACACGCTTACATTTGGAATTTCAAAAAGTGGTTTTTGATAGACTTTTTGTTCCAAAATTTGTTAATTTATTTAAAACCAACTTTTAGAGGTCACTCATATCTTCTAATTATTGAGAGGTACATGCAGATTTTGGCGATCTATCATTATAAAAGGCTAAATTTGGTGCAAAAACAGGAGTTGACACGCTTACATTTGGAATTGAAATTTCCTACATAATTGTCGACTCATGTTTAAAAGTCATGAAAACAAGGTTGAACACAAAACAATGACCTAGTTACTGTCCATTTAGCATGGGATCACTAAGGGAAATATTATTAATGACTTAAATCGTTAACGGTTAAGTTGTATTCCATGAAACTTATCAATTTAAAAATGCAAAATGTTCAATTTTGTTTTTCAATTATAAAAATGGCACCTGTAGAGAACAACGTTTACAAAATTATTTAAAACGGAGATATTTACTTATGTAACATTCGTTGGCATGTGTCAGGGAGTAAATAAGGAGAATATGCATTTGATTCTATATCTTGTTCCCAAAGGAGTTTGTTTCTTAGCTACTTTTATCATATCGAACTCAAATATTTCGAATGCTTATTTGAGAACGCTTTGTTGAGACTGGATTCGAGATGTACTCAAAATTAATACGTTAAAATGTGTATTATCATCTTAATATCCACCTCACAAATTATTTTGGAAATTAAAGATGTACGATTTTTGAGATTTTTATTTTCGAATGTTGACTTAGTTACTCGACTTGACTGTTACATCAACTTACAGGTCAATAAATATATATTCAATATTATATTATATCCAATAAATCAAATAAATTATAATTTGTCTTCTCATCTTTAAATTCTTTAGACCCGACATAATGCCCTATGCAGCCTCAGTCACATTTGATCTATGTCTTGTCAACCAGACGGTGGCCTTGGTTTCCCAAAATCCAGAGAAATATCCAGCATAAAATATAGAGATAAACAGTGCTGTAGACTTTCTATATCGATTTTGTGAAGCCACAGCCTCCGTAGAGCAAATTTGACCGAGGCTTAAATGCCATCCCAATGTATTTTACTTTCCCTTTAAATATAGATAAATTAGATCATTAACTGTATGTCATACTCTACATACTTTTGTGACAGTCTACATAATTATCATAGACCATTTAAATGTGTGTCACAGTTGACATACTTCTTGTACCATTAAAATAGACCATACAAATGTATGTCAAAGTCTATATACTTCTTGTAGCATTAAAATAGACCATACAAGTGTATGTCAAAGTCTATATACTTCTTGTAGCATTAAAATAGACCATACAAATGTATGTCAAAGTCTATATACTTCTTGTAGCATTAAAATAGACCATACAAATGTATGTCACAGTCTGTATACTTCTTGTAGCATTAACATAGACCATACAAGTGTATGTCACAGTCTATATACTTCTTGTAGCATTAATATAGACCATACAAATGTATGTCAGTCTATATACTTCTTGTAGCATTAATATAGACCATACAAATGTATGTCACAGTCTATATACTTCTTATAGCATTAACATAGACCATACAAATGTATGTCACAGTCTATATACTTCTTGTAGCATTAATATAGACCATTCTAATGTATGTCAAAGTCAATATACTTCTTGTAGCATTAATACAGACCATACAAATGTATGTTACAGTCTATATACTTCTTGTAGCATTAATTTGACCATTCAAATGTATGTTACAGTCTACATACTTCTTGTAGCATTAATATAGACCATTCTAATGTATGTCAAAGTCTATATACTTCTTGTAGCATTAATATAGACCATACAAATGTATGTTACAGTCTATATACTTCTTGTACCATTAATATAGACCATACAAATGTATGTCACAGTCTATATACTTCTTGTAGCATTAATATAAACCATACAAATGTATGTTACAGTCTATATACTTCTTGTAGCATTAACATAGACCATACAAATGTATGTCACAGTCTATATACTTCTTGTAGCATTAATATAGACCATTCTAATGTATGTCACAGTCTATATACTTCTTGTAGCATTAATATAGACCATACACATGTATGTTACAGTCTATATACTTCTTGTAGCATTAATATAGACCATACAAATGTATGTCACAGTCTATATACTTCTTGTAGCATTAACATAGACCATACAAATGTATGTCACAGTCTATATACTTCTTGTAGCATTATATAGACCATACAAATGTATGTCAAAGTCTATATACTTCTTGTAGCATTAATATAGACCATTCAAATGTATGTCACAGCCTACATACTTCTTGTAGCATTAATATAGACCATACAAATGTATGTCACAGTCTACATACTTTGCCTTGCACCAATATTGATCGCCCAGCTTTAATTGTTGGCTTTGTTGGTAATCTTGATATAGTTGCCTGGAAATACAAAACTACAAGAATACAAAATTACACAAAGCATATCATGAATAATATATGAATCATGGCAAAACATTTCAGTTGTCAGTTTTATGAGCCTAGATGCTCAAAACTGCAAACATATTTTTTAATCAGGAAGTCAATGGGAGAATATAAACTTGGGGCTTATAGAAAGTGTTCATATTGAGAGGTGTTCAAATTGCAGAGGTGTTCAGATAAACAGGTTTTAATTTACAAATATGAATGTGCATTTTCAAACATGTTGTACTTACACATGGTGACTTATCAGCTGATGACATATATGCCACACACATACTCTCAGTGGAATGTACCCAGATAACTTCAACTGCAATACATGTAAATAATACATACAACTTTAGGCTTTGGTTTTTTGAATAATCATAGCAAACAGGTGATGCGTCACAAAAATGAGTAAAAGTAACATCCAATAATACTTAATAATAATATATCAGCAGGCCTGTAGCCAGGAGGGGGGGGGGGGGTTCGGGGAGATTGAGTGAACCCAAAATTTCTTTCAAAATCATGCAGTTTTTCACCATTCTGAGCACTTTTCAAGTGATTTTGGCCATATTGCCAAAGTTGCCAAAGTGAACCCCCCTGGAATTTTTTAAAAAGTGACCCCCCTTTGCAAATCCTGGCTACGGGCCTGATCAGGCATACAAGAAAGGCTTTTCCTGTATGATGGTTACTGTACTGAGTTGTAAGATTTGTTATTTAGCAACCACACCATTACAGCATTTGTTTGCAACATAGGTTTCAGGCCGATATATGATAATATAAAGATGGCAGTCAAGTAGTTTGTCTAATAATAATGTACCATTCAAAGTGTTGCATGAGGCCCCTATGTGGGGAAGGTTGAGAAATTTACACACAGCAATACAGAGGGGTGGGGGGGGGGGGGGGGTCTCACGCAAACCTTTGAATGGGGCATAATATACAAGTAATATACAAAAACAATGGTATTCCAAGAACAAGTAATTAACCTCTTTGGTTTCTGTAATTCTATTCAGTGATAGTGCCCTCTTTTGATCAGTACAAGGGAATAAGCAAGCATTGTATAATTGGGGGAATGGGATATTAGACTTTGGTAAAGTTTGTTGTTTGTCAATTACACTGTGAAATATTGCAACTTTATATACTTGAACAAATTGATTAAATGATCGAATAAAAATCAAGAATTATGTTATACCATAGGCTTTCAAGTCTCTTGAAGGCCCATGGTTATACTGTACATATCCTATTTATTCAAAAATAAGGATGGACTTATTGGATTGTGATAGGGAAATCCTTATGTAATAAGGTTAAGGGGATATTTTATAAGGAATCCGAATGGACCACTCCATGAACTTTTTTCTATTAGTTTATATGCTAATGCACAACATATCCAAAGAACTAATCAAAAATATTTTATCAATTCAAGGGGATAAGAAAAGGATACCAATACATCTAGGCACCAGGCATGACTACATAAATAAAGTAAACAATCTGTTTGTTTCATGTGATAATGACTCTAGATAAGCACAAAACTCTTTGTGCATTTGCACTGTTGGTAGACAACACATGATTATGCACGTTACATAGATAACTTTCACATCAGGGATAAACATGTGAATCTTCATCTTATACAACTTTCTTAAAGAAATATTTCATAAGCTTTGTTTCATAATGAATTTGACTATAAAAGAGGAAAATCTTTTCATTGGAAATCACTTGCAACGGAATCATCAAGGTGAGTCAAAACTTCAAATATATATTCTGATTATGAGGAATTTTTTGCTTCTTTAATTAATAAGAAAAAGTCAAAACAATAATTACAAATAAATAATTTGACAACTTTGTTAATTTTTAATTTGAAATATTTAATGTCATAAAATCAGCGGCAGAAATGAGCAATTAGTTAGATCCTCAACATGAGAAATTCATGCAATTTTCTAGATTATAATTAACAACAATTTAAAATGAGTAGTATTTTTCACATTTTATGTAGATATTTACTTCTCATCATAGAGAACATTCTTCAAAGTGAAAATATTTTTAATGTTGATATGACAAATTTCCTGAATTCTATTTATTTTTGTGGAAGTGCAGAACTATCTTATATACTGGTTTTAAAGTAAAATGCTGTTCAAAGATCTGCACCATATGATATGAAAAATTTATGAATAATCGTTTTTTCAGATAACCATTGTTAATATGAATAAATTCTGTATCAATTATATTAATAAATGAAAGACATTCTTTATACATTTTTATAATACCAAGTGAAAGATATAGTGTATTTATATAATTGTTTTTGTTTGTATTGCAGCATATATAGACTACATCAACTCCGAGTCATCATGTACACACTCGCACTGATCACTCTACTGGCTGCCAGCGCTATGGCTGACGTGCCAAGCTTCTGCAACAGACTTGACTGCCCAAAATTCAAAGTCCTAAGAACAACAGATGTAAGTCTCTTTGGATCCATAATTATCAAAATTAATGCAAAATCTTGTTGAAATGCAGATTTATTTAAATGTAGTTTTTTGATCATTTATTATATATCTGTAGAAATACGTATACTTGAATACATGTATATGTAAATGTACCATTGTAAGTTTATTACAATGGAAACTAAATGTTATTCTGATAAAAAATCATTTATTTCATATGTGATTCCTATTATTTTATTCCTGAAACTCTTCCTATCAGAGGAGCATCAAAGAATATGACTCATAATATATCATTATTTCTAGTGAAACAGAAATATGTGATGAGTATCAGAAAGTTAAAATCCTGTTTTGTTATGTATTAAAAGTCTAAAATGTTTTAGACCAATTGTATCTCATTAACATAATACATTCATTTCAGGAGTATGAGGTACGTGAATATGAGGAATCACGCTGGGCAAGCACAGATGTTTACGACATGGATTTCAATAGAGCTCGTAGTATTGGCTTCAATCGTCTCTTCATGTACATCTCAGGAGATAATGCAGCTAGTAAGTCCAATATCATACCTCAAAGATGCAACAATGGATACAGACCTCTTGAAAAATTGATATTGCCACTATTTTACTGTTTTGCTCATAGCATTTTTTTATTTGCATCTTTCTGTTCTTATTATCCAATAAACTACATTTTCAGAATTCCATATTATCAACCAGAAATATATATATGTTGTATCAATACAAGTTATAAATGTATAAAACATTTATTTTTAGACTCCAAGATCCCAATGACCGCCCCTGTATTGACAACCATTATCCCTGGACAGGGCCCTGCCTGTGAGAGTAACTTCACAACATCATTCTACCAACCTTTCAACATGCAGAAGAGTGGAGGCCCAGCCCCAACTGATACTAATGCATACCTTAGTGTTCTCCCTAAGGTCACTATGTATGTCAGGTAGGTACCTCTAATGTTTTGATATTTGAACTAACAAGTCTTGCCGTATTGACTGAGATGAAGCTATATGGAATAGTTTCGAGATTGGTTGAAAATAAATAGAACTCTACATCTTTATTTTTGAACTGGTGTGGCTTATCATATATGCAATCTATAGATAGAGAGAAAACAAAATTTTTAATTGAATCAAAAATTATGAACATTAGATAGAAGTTTTTTTGAATTTCTTTTCTATGAAATAAAATTTTATTCATTCAGTTGTTGTAAAATAAATGTAAAAACATACTTATGTTATGACAATGATTCAAAACTGATGAATATCTGTTTCTTTGTTTCCAGGTCTTTCTCTGGTTATGCAAGTGAGGAGGATTTTCTCAACCAAGCTGGTAAACTCGCAGCCGCAATCAACAACCCAGAGGCATTCCGCTCTGACCTATACTACACAGCTGGCTATGACAGTCCCTTCAAGTTCTTAAACAGACACAATGAGATCCTCTTCCGTGCCAAATAGACTATTGATATACTCATCTCATGGACAGTTTTATATTCATCTCTTGGTCATATACTAGATGTTAATTCTGATTGGCCATGTGGACATTAACACTCATCAATTTAGTAACTCGGTTTTCAACAAACAAGAATTTGACTGTAAAAGGTTCTTATATTTCATATCATTTTCAACAGTTTAAGGAATTTTACTAAATCACTCAATTCTCAGTACAAATGAGAACCGTAATATCTGAACTCTTATCAATGCAATAATTCTTATTTTCTCCTACATTGATATATTTTCGATAAAATGAATGAGTGCCAATAATTGTAAATACATCTATGACTATTTATTATTGCTTGTAGCAATGCAAACGTATTTTTATAAATAAAAGAAATATTATATAAACATTAAACAAGTTATTCTGTCATTTATTTAACTGGATATCCAAAACAATTGTGGGTGTGGCAAAATTATAATCAAGCATCGGCTATTTGAGTCCATCCTACCACCAGTATTCAATAATTTACACTACTTTATTGATCTATGAATAAAATGACAATATCTTTAACCTCCCAGGCTCAAAAAATCTGTCTGAAGCTGCTTTTGACATTCTTCTTCATACATATACAACAGATGATGCTAAACTTAGTAAAATTAGTCCGCAGAGTTCATTTCTACATATTTTAAAACATAATTTGTGTAAATTGGTTGAAAATTGTAATTTTAGTGAAAACTTCTTGTGAAAAATTATCTTGTCACTCTGAGTTTCGAGATAATTTCTTAGATGATGAGAAATGTCACCTTGGGTGGTCAAGAGGTTAGTTCTGATCCAAAATAGACCTAAAACGTTACTTTTAATACAAACCATATTTTCTAAATATATGAAAGGTAAACAAGTTAATAATATGCAATGAAACCACCTGCCATTTGTTACAAATGCGAACTGCTGAACACCAAATATCAACCACTGACTTCTGAATACCAACTGAATGCCAAACACCAACTGAATGCCAAACAACAACTGAATGCCAAACACCAACTGAATGCCAAACACCAACTGAAGGCCAAAGACCATTCAGAAAAAAGATGGAGACTATAACAATATGTCACCACTTGTGGTGGTGTTATAAAAATCACTCATTTTGTAAAGAGCATCACAAGTTTCAAATTTAATTAAATAATTCTAGCTACATCAATTCTAAACAGCAATACGTATATTGAATTCAAGCTTATTTTCACCACTTTCTTTAAGATTACTTAATGCAACTTATGCAATTTTATCAGACCTTCAAATCCAATTGTTATAAAATACAATTATTTTCTAACTAAAAATTTTCATCTTTGAAAAAGCTTCAAAAGATCATGTGCAGTTTGGCAAGTGATTTTAGATGGTCATATCTTTCACCATGAGTACTTTCTGGGCATAAATACAGTGGTTTTTATTAAAACAATATGTTTCTTTCAAGAGAAGTACCCATGATGATAAAAATGTCAATCGAACAATTTGAAAAACTAAGAAAAACAGCAACTCCACGGAGTAGCAAATCCCACCGAACAAAACATATTTAGATTATTAGTGGCCATCTTGAAAATTCCTTCTTGAGCAGAGCTTGTTTGTCCCTAAGCATCAACATATAAAATGTAAACCATATCCATTAATTAAAATTTGAGTTATCAAAGATTACATTCTTTTTTACTAAAAATGGGGCCAATTCTGCAGTCATTTTGAAAATCTTTCTTGAACAGAGCTATAGTGTCCCTACTGTGTTCGCTGGTATTAGAATTATCAAAATTTTATGTTTTTTTTACGAAAAATGGCCACCATTTTGAAATTCAGTGGCCATCTTGAAAATTCATTTTTGAACAAAGCAACTGTGTCCCTAGCCATCATCATATAAAATTTGAACCAAATCCGTTCACTGGTATTTGAGTTATCAAAGATTATGTTTTTTAACGAAAAATTGCCGTCATTTTGAAATAAAGTGGCCATCTTGAAAAGTCCTTGTCGAACATAGCAACTGTGTCCCTAGGCATCATCATATAAAATTTGAACCAAATCCGTTCACTTGTATATGAGTTATCAAAGATAACGTTTCCCACGAAAATTGCCATCAGCATATAAAAGGACGATTCTCGGTTTGGAGAACGAAGTTCATCAATCTAAATGAGCATTATCCCTGCTTCGGACAAATTTGATTTTTTTTACATATTATAGATTCGAATGTCTTCTTTTGAATAGTCATAATTTAATTTGGGTAATATTTCTAGATTTTTCGCAAAAAAATATTAGCGCAGTACACTGATGAACTTCCTTCCCCAAATCGAGACGTTGTATTTTATTGAATCGGTCTAATTGAGCGTTATCCCTGCTTCTGACCAATTTGTTATTTTTACATCTTGTAGATTTAAATGTCCTCTTTTGAATATTCATAGTTTAATTTGGGTAATATTTTTATATTTTTCATGAAAAAAATTATTAGCCCAGGAGACTGTTCTCCAAACCGAGAATCGTCCTTTGAATTAAGAAAAATGGCAACCATTTTGAAATTCAGCTGCCATTTTGAAAATTCTTCCTCGAACAGAGCTACTGTGTCCCTACTGTGTTCGCTGGTATTAGAATTATCAAAATTTTATGTTTTTTTTACGAAAAATGGCCACCATTTTGAAATTCAGTGGCCATCTTGAAAATTCATTTTTGAACAAAGCAACTGTGTCCCTAGCCATCATCATATAAAATTTGAACCAAATCCGTTCACTGGTATTTGAGTAATCAAAGATTATGTTTTTTAACGAAAAATTGCCGTCATTTTGAAATAAAGTGGCCATCTTGAAAATTCCTTGTCAAACATAGCAACTGTGTCCCTAGGCATCATCATATAAAATTTGAACCAAATCCGTTCACTTGTATATGAGTTATCAAAGATTACGTTTCCCACGAAAATTGCCGCCATTTTGAAATTAAGCGGCCATCTTGAAAAAATTTTGTCGAACATAGCTACTGTGACCCTAAGCATCATCATATAAAATTTGAACCAAATCCGTTCACTGGTATTTGAGTTATCAAAGATTACATATTTTTACGAAAAATGGCCGCCATTTTGAAATTAAGTGGCCATCTTGAAAATCTCTTTTTGTGCAGAACTCCTTTGTCCCTAGGCATCAGCATATAAGATTTGAACCAAATCCGTCTACTTGTATTTGAGTTATCAACGATTACATTTTTTACGAAAAATGGCAGCCATTTTGAATCGAGCAGAGGTTCTACACTCATAAGGCATAATCATATCAAATTTGAACCAAATCCGTCAACCGGTATTGGAGTTATCGCCTGGACAGACGGACGGACAGACGGACGGACGGACAAACGGACGGCTTCTCTATATCCCCCTCGAACTTCGTTCGGTGGGATAATTATGAATAGGGACCCCATGTCAACATTTTTTTCAAAATATTGAACCTATTCACACAAAAGAGGATCTTACTTATGATTTTTATTTCATGAAAAGATTATCCAACAAGGGGTCTAAAACTTCTTCAAAAATAGAATGGTATTGAAAGTCTAGTTTTGAAGATATCAATTTTCGATGACCAAAATTATGCTGAAAACAAATGATAGCACGAGTTTTCCCTATGGGAAAATAACATGGGATATGTGGTTTTTATCTTTAATGCATTTTAATACCCACCCCCTTTTCAGAAATTGTTAATATAGTGTAGAGGAGACATCCCATATGTTTAAATTGAATAAAACAAGATCATCTTTTGAGAAAATAAACCTAACATTTTTTGAAAAGTGCCAAGGTGGCACCCTAATCCATTATTTTTCAGAGAGTTGGATTGATATTTTACTATCATGGGGACTTCACTTGAAAGAAAACATATTGTTTTAATAATAACCACTGTATTTAAATTAATGGCCAGAAAGTACTCATGGTGAAAGCTATGACTGTCTAAAACCACTTGCCATACTGCACATAGACCTTTCAGATATAATATAATATAATATTAAGGATCAAGAAATAGAGGCAAGAATATACTCTGTCCATTTTGATACTTGAATAGAGGTGAAATAAACAGGATTTCAGCCCTTGAAGGTAAAAATGTTTGTGACTTTTACCATAGGCTTTCAAGAGCCCATGCCTTGACCAACTTTTCAATTAAAATATTTACGTTTAGGCTTAAGTTAACAAAACATTGTAATAGATATTTTGAAGTACATTATCAAAAGGATGTCATGCTACAGTGAAACATTTGTTTAAAACTGTAACAAAATCAGCTGACACGTTTTATTTGCAGGATATGTGTTTTCAACTAAAGATTAGTGAACTAAGTCCTGTAGCTGGTGGTACATGTACATATCCACATTTTTAACTTTGGGGTAAATGTTTATGCTGTTGGGTAAACCAATTGCAATTTCATTTATAATTTTAACATAACTTGAGATTGCCTTGGTTACACATTTAAACCATGTATAAATCTTAGATCTTCATAATAAGAATTTATTACCATGTGACTAATATGATGAGAATGTAAAATGACTCGCGTTATTGATGACACTTTGATTATTCCTTAAACCTTTTCATTTGTTTAGATGTAATGTGTAACACTCCAAAGGACAAATTCGAAATATTCCGTCAATTCAAGGGGGGGGGGGGGTGTATAGGGGGTCTTGGAAGTCCATATACAATATTTTTCAGCCCTCTTATACCATATACAATATTTTTTCACCATATACAATATTTTTTGCCTCTCTTATACCATATACGATATTTTAGGTGAAATACAATATACGATAATTTTGAAACTGCTGTTGATTAATGTTTGGATATTTATAAGGAAATAATATTAGGAGGGAATCCATGTACTACCAAATATATTATTTTGAGGCAAATAGACTGCACAGTGCACATAATTAGACCACAATAATTCCATTTTATACATTATCAACAATATTCATTTTGGACACAACCCCATGGTCAAAAATTCTGTAACTCCATATTATTGTCAAGTAGACAAATTGTACAACTTAATGTACTTCTTTCTTATGACTTATGTCAATTGCATCCTTCATAGTGAGTCAGGGAAATGATTCTTCTTTCCTTGGGAACACAATTGATTTAAAAATGAGAATGTGGAACCATGGGCTTTCAATTAGAAAGTTGAAAGCCCATGGTGGAATGAAAGACTGTATGATTCATCATGACATTGTATTCTTTAAAAAATAAAGTTTATTGCGGCAAAGTATGTACAAATAAATCTGTCAGGTAGATAGTGAAGATACAAAATGTACAATAATTTGGCAAAGCAGCCACTAACCTGTAAAAATGTTTTAAATGTTTGAAAATACAAAACAATATTACTGACTCCTTAAATAATTCATTTCCACATAAAAGTTTTGTTTGCCAGTTTCAATAAAATGTTTAAAAATTGGTGACCTACTTCTTTTGAAACTACTGAAAGTAGATCACTGAAAGTTCTCATTTTTAAACATCTCTACACTCTTGTCTTGTCTATAAAGTGTATTCTTTGTGGACAATGTTGGATCAAGTTATTAATAATTGAAAGTAGCATGACTTCAATGAGGATTGCCAAAAACATACTGGCTTACCTTAACAATAGTAAATAATAGTTAGCCTACATATAATATCAATTGATTTCATAATTATGTTCAGGGTGTTTCATGATGAATGTCCTCCCATCCAAAGTCAATCCTAGGTTATATACCTTTACAATCTTTATATCATAAAAAACCTTATACAGTATGGATTTATGGGTCACATACACATGTATCGTCATGATCGATAAATGGGAACATAATTTGTGAAGTTATGTTTGGAAGTAACTGTTGCATTTAGCAAGGTACAGTGTTGGTGTTTGAGAAAAGGTTGCATTTAGATTATGTATTTAGAAATGGGTACCTTTTTGTAGAGATGTTTAGCAACACTGATCAACTGAATCAGCTTTCACATGCTATATGATAGGTTATAAATTATAACAAGGCATTAACATGACAAAATGTCACCACCTAAAACAATTTGGTCAATTTAAAGCAAGTTGGAAAATACCTTTTGACCTTAAGAAGGTTTGATTTGAACTTCTTAGAACATGTAGATGATTTTGAAAAAAAGATTCGTCAATTTGAAGCAAGTTGAAAAAATACCTCTTTGACTTTTTTTGACATTGAGAAGGTCATTGAAGGTCAAATGTCAAATGTAAAGTCAGATTTGAACTTCTGAGAACATGTAGATGATTTTGAAAAAAAAATTAAGTAAATTTGAAGCAAGTTGAAAAAAGACCTTTTTGACCTTGAAAAGGTCATTGAAGGTCTAATGTCAAATCTAAAGTCAGATTTGAACTTCTGAGAACATGTAGATGATTTTGAAAAATAAATTAGTCAATTTGAAGCAAGTTGAAAAAAGACCTTTTTGACCTTGAGAAGGTCATTGAAGGTCAAAGGTCAAATCTAAAGTCAGATTTGAACTTCTGAGAACTTTTAAAGTCAAATTTGAACTTCTGAAAAGATGTAGATGATTTTGAAAAAAAAAATTGGTCAATTTGAAGCAAGTTGAAACAGACCTTTTTTACCTTTTTTGACCTTGAGAAGGTCAAAAAGGTCAAATGTCAAATCTAAAGTCAGAATGAATTTCTGAGAACATGTAGATGATTTTGAAAAAAAAAATTGTCAATTTGAAGCAAGTTGAAAAAAGACCTTTTTGACCTTGAGAAGGTCATTGAAGGTCAAATGTCAAATCTAAAGTCAAATCTAAAGTCAGATTTGAATTTCTGAGAACACGTAGATGATTTTGAAAAAGATTTTTAGTCAATTTGAAGCAAGTTGATAACAGACCTTTTTTACCTTGAGAAGGTTATTGAAGGTCAAATGTCAAATCTAAAGTCAAATCTTAAGTCAGATTTGAATTTCTGAGAACACGTAGATGATTTTGAAAAAAAAATTTAGTCAATTTGAAGTAAGTTGAAAACAGACCTTTTTGACTTCTTTGACCTTGAGAAGGTCATTGAAGGTCAAATGTCAAATCTAAAGTCAGATTTGAAGGTCAAATGTCAAATCTAAAGTCAGATTTGAATTTCTGAGAACATGTAGATGATTTTGAAAAAAAATTTAGTCAATGTGAAGCAAGTTGAAAAAAGACATTTTTGACCTTGAGAAGGTCATTGAAGGTCAAATGTCAAATCTAAAGTCAGATTTGAACTTCTGAGAACATGTAGATGATTTAGAAAAAATTGAAGTCAGTCTAAACAGTATTTGTTAAGTTATAGTAAGTTGTAAGAAATTGTTACAGACGCCGGACGCCGGACGCCAACCTCCAACCACCAACCACCGTCGCAAAAAAACGGAGACCATAACAATATGTCACCACTTTTAGTGGTGACATAATAACAATATGTCACCACTTTTAGTGGTGACATAATAAATAGTATTTATAAAGTTTAAAATCAAGTGTACATGTATGATGTAACTCAGGAATGATGATCATTAATTTACATAATCATTAAGATATGAGGGTACCCTTGTCTGCCTTCTATTTCCTCGAGATACCCCTGTCACCTTTTTTTGCACTAAAGGTTCATCAATTTCATCATTTTCATCATCTGATGGTGTTTGGAATAAATTCTCATATTCCTCAATAGTAAGGTTCAAAACACCCTCTTCATTAAACCTCATGTCTGAAAGAACTTCAACAACTTCCGTCAAATGGATGATGGTGTTTTCAGCTTGATGAAATGATGTAACATCTCTTTCTGTATTTTCAAGCCATTTGGCCTGAATCAGTCTGTCATCGTCTGTTACCTCAATCGATACAACACATACACGGACCTCTCTTTGTGTTTTTACACATAATATTGAGTTTTTTGCGAATCTAGCTATAAGTTGTGGTGTGTTTTGACCTTTGAAGATATCATCCATTTCCATATTGACATATTCATGATCCTCCTTTACTGTTGGTGTAAAATAAGCGTACAGCGGAAGTGTACCAACTTTGTCTTTTGTAGTTTGACTTCGTATGGCCAGCTGCCGAACACCTTGAAGGTATGATTTTCTATAGTCTTGCAGGAGTTGTACTTCTCCAGGATCCAGATGATTATGCTCCTGCTTGGGAATTTGGGGCATTTTATCAAGAGTCATGTGTATATTAGACGCCATTCGCTCGTAGTATTTTTCATTTGTATGATAAATAAATGGCAGATTGCCTGCTCTCATGATTAAATTATCCACGGCGTGTGGGAACAGTCTACTAAAGTCAAGCATTTCTGTTGTGGTGCTAATGGCTATTCATATTAGGCATGTTTAATTGTTTTAGATAAAATATTTAGGTAACTGGTGACATATTAAGACTTCAGATTCCTTTAGATACCATATACCATATATTTCTCTTATACCATATACCATATTTTTTTCTTCTCTTATACCATATACGATAAATTTTGGCCCCTCTTATACAATATACAATAAATTTTCACGCTCTTATACGATATACGATATCTCTATACACCCCCCCCCCATTCAAGGAGATAGAAAAGGATTCTAATCTCAATATCAGTAAAAAAAATCCGTCTAGTACATGATATGACAAATTGACTTCTGGTGTAAAATTTACAAAACAAAAATATATCTAGGCACCATGTCTATGTAAACAATCTATTTATTTCATGTGATGATGACCCAAGATCAGCAAAAAACTCTTTGTGCACTTGCTAAGTTGATAAAAACATGTGCTAACATTAGATAAAAAAAAAGTTTCACATCAGGGATAAACAAGTGAATCTTTATCTTACACAACTTTCTTAAAAAAATATATTTCATAAGTTTTGTTTCATAATGGATTTGGCTATAAAAGAGGAAAATCATTCTGCTGGAAATCACCCGCAACAGAAACCCTTAAGGTGAGTTAAATCTTCAAAATCATCATCTAGTTATGACGATTTTTTGCTGTTCTTTAATGTAAAAAGTTAGAATAATTTGGAAATTTTGTTAATATTTCATTTGAAATATCTAATATCATCAAATTAGCATTAGAAATGTGTGATTATATGGATCCACATCATGAAAAAAGCAATTTTTTAGATTATAATGAACAATAACTTTTAGAATGGGTAATATTCTTCATTCTCTTAAGTAGATATTTGCTTGTTGTGGTAGAAAACATTGTTCGAAAACAAAATTTCAATGAACTCAATGAAAAATTTTAAATCTTGACTTTATTAAAATGTGATAAAAAAATCAGTATTTTATGAAATAAAGAATGAATGAATTACAAAAACTGAATAATTCTTCTTTGCTTTGAAAATATAGAAAAACATTAATAAACAAATTCTATATCATGTAAATGTATATGTGAATAAGAAGTTATCGATACCATTTAAATTTTAAAGAGCTTGAAAGAATTTTTCTGATATTTTCAGCAATCCATCAATGACTTGTCAAATCCAACTGATCATGTACACACTTGCACTGATCCCTTTACTTGCATTCAATGCTATTGCTGATGTAAGACTTGTATTAATATAATTGTTTTTGTTTGTATTGCAGCATATAGATTATTCTACATCAATTCCTAGTCATCATGTACACACTCGCACTGATCGCTCTATTGGCTGCCAGCGCTATGGCTGACATACCAAGCTCCTGCAAAAGACTCGACTGCCCAAAATTCAAAGTCCTCAGAAAAACAGGCGTAAGTCTCTTTAGATCCATAATTATCAAAATTAATTTAATGGGTCTGCAGCATCTTGTTGAAATGCATATATCATTTAAAATGCATGTTCAAATTACTAATAACAATTATAATTTATTTCATATGTTATTTCTCATTATTTTATTTCCCATTAGAGGAGTTTATATCTCAAAATAATTTTTTTTTTCGTAAAAATATCTCTCAATATCTCACAATAAATCTATTTTTAGTAAAAAAAGATGTGATGAGTATAAGAAAGTTAATTCTGTTTTGTGATGTATCAAAAGTCGTAAATGTTTTATATTAGACCAATCGTATCTCATTAATAAAATACATTCATTCCAGGAGTATGAGGTACGTGAGTACGAGGAATCACGTTGGGCAAGCACGGATGTTTATGACATGGACTGCAGTAGAGCTCGCAGCATCGGCTTCAAACATCTCTTCAACTACATCTCAGGAGATAATGCAGCTAGTAAGTCTAACTGTTTTTTCTTTTATTGAAACACAATAACATATGTAGCATGTGAACTGGCCAAACAAGGGGGTGAATAATAGTCACATAGTGAAGTAAGAATTTAAATAAAAAATGTGTTTGTGCCATACAAAATCTTAAATGCTAATTCATGGGTGAATAAAATACATTGAGATGGTCAATTAGGTTGTCTCATCAGAATTATGAACCTTGAACAAATTTTTATAGGTTAATATGGATGGAACTGAAATAGCTCAATATCATTGCATGTGTTTAGTGAGTGTTTGGTAGTTCAATCGAATGGTATCAACAATTTTAATGTTATTTTCAGTTCTGTTCTGTTTCAATTTAAGTCAGTTCCTCTATTTGAAAAATTAAGTTTGAATTTAATAAAAGTTGTGTCAAGTTAAAAAAAAGTACAAAATATTTTTAGATGCCAAGATCCCAATGACTGCCCCTGTATTGACAACCATTATCCCTGGAGAGGGCCCTGCCTGTGAAAGCAACTTCACCGTATCATTCTACCAACCTTTCAACATGCAGGAGAATGGAGGCCCCGCCCCATCTGATGCTAATATCTACCTTAGTGTTCTTCCTAATGTCACTATGTATGTCAGGTAGGTATATTTTGATATTTTAACTGACGTGTCTTATACAGTTGACCAAGGTGAAACTGAATATGATATAGTTTTAAGATTGGTCTCAAGAATTTTTTTTTTGAAATACAATTTCACTCACATGGTTGTAAAATGAATGTGAATACATACTTAAGATGAAAATAATTTAGAACTGTACTTGTTTCCAGGTCTTTTCCTGGTTATGCAAGTGAGGAGGAATATCTCAACCAAGCTGGTCAGCTTGCAGCCGCAATCAACAACCCAGACATATATGACACTGACTTATACTACACAGCTGGCTATGACAGTCCCTACAAATTCCTGAACAGACACAATGAGGTCTTGTTCCAAGCTAAATAGACTATTGACATACTAATCTCGTGGCCAGTCTTCAACACTATTAATTCTGGCAGGCCATGTTGACATTAACACTCATTGTTTCAGGAACTCATTTTCCAACAAACAAGAATTTGACTAGTGAAAGGTTCTTATATTTCATATCATTTTCAAGGACTTTTACTAACTCAATTCTCAGTACAAATGAGAACCATTATATCTGAACACTTGTCAATACAATAATTCTTATTACATTGATATATTTTAGATAAAATGAACGAGTGCCAATTGTTGTAAATACATCTATGACTATTTATTATTGCTCGTAGCAATGCAAACATATTTTTATAAATAAATAAAAGAAATATAATATATACAATCTGTCCTTTATTTCACTGGATATTCAAAACAATACTGGGCATCACAAAATTATTGAAAAAAGTTAAGCATCAGAGTTTGAAGTCCATCCTACTTCCAATGTTCAATAATTTACACTAGCAAGCTTAGCTTATATATCTATGAATGAACTGGCAATGTCTGTAATTCTGATCTTACTCAACCTAAAATGTTTTCGATTTATAATAACCCTTTTACTTGGACATCATTAACCATATTTTCTGAAGTTAAGAAATTACTCAGTTTTTATTACATGTACTCATCAAATGTCCCAAATTGAATTTAATAATTCTACATACCTTCATGAATTTTAAAATGCATGAATTTGAAGAGCACTTGGGTCCATGTATCTCTCCCTATATGACATCCAAGAACATATACATGTAGTGCACAAACTGCTTTGTAAGTTCATACCCAGGTATCGATTTCTTCATATAACAAGACAAACCACTTCATGCCATTATTTCATAAAAACTATTTCTATTACCCTATGGTTTGCAACATGCAAGCCTTAATCTTATTTTTCCCCACTCACCTTTGTCCAGCTCTTCCTTGTCATGTTTAAGAATGAGTGCTCCACCATACTTTTCTGAGAATTGTTTTAGAAATCTTGAGCCTGGAAGAGACATACATGTAGTTAGAATAAGCAAAATAGGTTAATGGATATTTGCTGACCAACAAATGCTGAACACTGTCTACAAAAAAGTTGGAGACTACAACAACATGTCACCACTTCTGGTGGTGACAAAAAACTATTCTTGGCAAACTGACAGTGACTTATAATGCAATAAGCAAAGCTGTTACAAGTGTTTACATTATATCTGAAGCTATAACTAGACAACAGAAACGCCAAAGCGTAGCAAATCCCATCGAACAGCCATGGCTGGCATTTTTACAAACAAAGTATTAAGCAAAAATGGCAGCCATTTTTCAAAATGACCACCTTCTACCACAAGTGTCATTAGACAATGTGCCAAGCCCATAGTATTCAAATACCAAATATGAACAGAATCGCTTCACTACTTTTCAGTTAAAGTAAAATAGGATAAAAGGTGGCCATTATGAAAAATGGCCGTCTTCTACCAAAGTGTCATAAGACAGTGTGCCATGCTTATAGTATTCACATACCAAATATGAACAAAATCGCTCCGCTTCTTTTCGAGTTATAGTAAAATATGTGTGTGTCATTAGACAGTGTGCCATGCTTATAGTATTCACATACCAAATAAAAACAAAATTGCTCCACTACTTTTCGAGTTATTTTAAAATACATTAGAAGGCGGCCATTTTTCAAAATAGCCGCCTTCTACCGAAAGCGTCATTAGACAATGTGCCATGCTTATAGTATTCACATACAAAATATTAATGAAATCGCTCCACTACCTTTCGAGTTCCAGCAAAAATCGTAGCGAGTAAAGGCCGCCATTTTTCAAGATGGCTGCCATGTGCTTCTTGAAGATCTACATTTCTAGCTTTATTAAAGTCTCATATAATTTTTTACATATAAAACATATTGCTATTACAGTTTTACATATTGTACCTAAATTACTGTAAAATCGACACTAAAATGGCAGCCATTTTTGAATGAGTGGCTATTTTGAAAATTGGCTTTCGAGTAGAACTTTTACCTCCATAGGGTATATGTTTACAAAATATGAACAAAATCAGGCCAACAGTATTTGAGTTATTGCCCGGACGGATGTACGTTCGGACGGACAGACCATATAATAGGACGGAGGCGTTCCCTATATCCCTCAGAACTTGGTTCGATGAGATAATAAATTCTATGAATGAAAAATTGACACCTTGCATTAATGTAAGAGAAAAATCCAATTCACTTACGTATAAAATGTTGTTCAAATGCTTTTTGTGTATCTTGCATAGCATTGGTCCCATTAAGAAGACATTCTGCACAATTCTTGGCTAGTTGAGATTTCAAAATATGTTCCCCACTACCTGTTAAGACATACATTTAGTTAGATAACTCTATGAGATACATGCAAACATAGCACATTTAATAGCAATAGATTAAGGCACAGGGATTTGCATATTTAGGAGATTCATCCCAGATTGAAGGAATCAAAACAGATTTATGAACACTGTCACTATATGAAAAACTTGCAGCAAAACATTAGGTATATGGACTGCATTGAAATGCTATTGAGATTATTTTACAATTTGATATGTTCTATTCTGACTTAGTTTGTTAACGAGAGACTATACAGAGCTTAGGAGTAAGCCATACTGTTACAATAATACTAAATTATGTTATTGAAATACACTCTGATGCTTTGATGATATTCACACACAAAGTACCACATGCTCATTAAAACACATAACATGTATTTGATTGCAAGAAAGAAGCAACACACTGACTGACCTGTAGTGCTAACTGCTACAGAGTGGGGGATCCCTGTGTCTGACCAGCAGCCACAACCATAAACTGATGCCTGAAATACAATCATTCATAGAAATATTGACACCAAATTATTGAAATTGATGCCTGGAATACATTCATTCATACAATTATTGACACCAAATTATTGACACTGATGCGTGACATACATTCATTCATAGAATTATTGACATTATTTCTTGATTATACCTGAAAATGCTAGGTATGTGGAAAATGATCTGATCAAGGACTGATCATTAAAGAGAATTTGTATTGCCCATCATATTCAGTATTCACCCTCCCCTCTTATTACTGAAGCTTAAGTGTAGGATTAACCTTTGTTATACCTGACCCACTCTTCCAGCTTGTTTTAGAATGATGCCTCCACTTGATACAGCTGAGGCAACATTGCCATGGTGATCTAGACAAACTGCACCCACAGTATCCAACAATTTGTCACCAGAAATCTGAAATACCATACATAATCAATATAGGTGACTCTAGTAGTACATCGGGACAGGAGCTGGATTCATTAACAAATCATATGTAATGATCAGACTAATAAATTATGAAACAACAGTTATCAATATACATGGTAAAGGTAAAATGACCCTAAATATAAGGTATACAATATTCAGAAATCCCGACCCCTCTGAAGATTAGAATTTATCCTGTAGTTCTGTCATTTTTTGAAAATTGTCTGAAATATTAGATTATTATTTAGCTTATATGTAAATATAAGGTATTCAATAATATTTGCTTATATAGGAATTTTTATTCAAAATGGCCGATGTAGTTAAATTAATCTGCATATCTTTTACTTTCGCTAGCTTTATCTCCACTTGACAATATGCTGTGTTGCTTATTATAGCATCTAATTGTACCTAACTATTCTTTTTTATTTAATTAAAACATAGTTACATTTGTACAGATTTATGGTCATGACATCTGTATGGGTGTATATTTGACCACATTTGAAAACATAAATCAAGAAAATTTTGAGTCCTTGAAAGTTTAACAACACAATATGACACTGGGTAAACCATAATTTGTCTCATGAATTATAAGCATTGGTAAATAATGATAATGTACAACATAGAGGATGGAATCACCTTAAGTTTACTGAACATCAAAATCAATATTTTGAGAACATATTTTCTTTAAAAAGGCTTTTTTTAGTTTTATAAATATTATTAAGAAGTTTAATCTTGTTTAATGTTCCAGATGATTTCACCTTGTACTTTAAAACTGTATCTTAAATAATTGGTTTTGAAGTACCTTATTGAAGTGTTGTAATGCTTATTTTTGAGAAGTAATGCTTAATCAAATTGATAATTTTGTGCATGGAATTCCACTAGATTTTCCACATAAGGTTGACAGATGGTGTCCTATACAGGCTTCTCTCCGGTTTGTTCAGCTTAAGTAGGAAATGATGGTAAATAGGATTATTACTACAGTCTATCAGAATTATTGCCATTCCTGATAGACATACCACCAATTATTGATTTCTTAAAGCTTTATTAAAATTAGCATATCTTCAATGATATGAGTGTTTGCAATAAGATTTATGCTTCACACATGTTTGATTAATTTAAATTGCCAATATTGAAATTAAAAATCTGATGCTGAATTTTCCCAGTATCATTCAGGAAGCCTCTATAGCTCAGTGGCAGAGCACTGGTCTTGTAAACCAGGGGTCATGAGTTCAATCCTCATTGGAGGCTAGCTTCTGTTGGAGCTTCTTTTTATTTTTTTATTTTGATCTTTATCTCAAAAAACAAATATTTTGGGGGATTAAATTGCCAAAATAATTACTTTTATGTGTAAATTATATAATGGTAATACACAAATAACTTGAATTTATGAAATGCAAAACAATGAGAGTTTTTGGGAAATGATATGGCCAGAATCCAGAGTGACCTCCAAAATCATAGTCTTGCTTAAAAGACCCTGTACTCCCCCCCCCCCCTTTATCCTTCTCTGTATATTGCCAGGTAAAGAGAGTGAAGGTGACAGAGGGGGGGGGGGGGTGGATACAGTCTTTGAGCAAGACTACCAAAATGATGTAATCAAAAATATTTTTCAGGTAAAACAAGTTTAACAAAAAAGCCATATGTGGTATTTAATAGCAAATAGGTTTAACATAAAATTTTAAGTCAATATGTGGATCACCCTGAACATACAAACATTCTGTATAATATCAAACCTACATCTTCGTCAGCTATCTCTCCATTTGTTGTACTATTGCTTGAGTTTGAGCTGTTATCTATCTTCTGTCTCTTCCTTGCTCCACTATTACCATCTCCAACTCTGTCCAACCTTCTCTTGTATTTCTTGTGATTGCTAAGTGTGGCATCTACAGAGTGGTCCAAAAATGTCCATATTTTTATTTTGGTCTCATTCAATTTCATAATGCATGGAAATATGCAAATATTCATGCTGGGGAGAATGTCAATTATAAATTAGATTTCAAAATGACATCAGTATTCTTTAGAAACATTTGGATGAGATAGGTTAAGAACAATTTGACCATTTTCTTTATAAATGGAAAAATAGATGGCAGCATGGATGTCCGTTGGGCCAGAATACATGGAAACATATAGCAAGAGTCACTTAATTTCTTGATCTAACAAGTAATTCCATTTGGATCAACTAAAACACCATTGAAATGTAACTTTATTAACTTGTTGACAAATGGATTGAGATTTCCCATTAAAATTGCAATCTTTATAAGAAGAAATGAACTTTTAAAGGTTTTTAAACACTGTGTCAATCTGGATTTAGCCCGAGCTTTTTCAGAAAATTTTTCAGAAAAAGGTAAAAAAGTGTGGAAACTGCAAATCCAAGTTGGTTTGACAGAAACTTATTCATTGTTTTAAAATATGTCATCAAATAGAAGAAAATGTTAGACTTTAAAGGATAAAAATACAGATCTCATAAAAAACTTTAACGAGATTTCTAAGCTATATGGAAAGTCCTCTATTGAAAGTAAAAATAAAAAGTGTTGGTTTATTAACTAACCCTAGGTCAATGGTTTAATTGCAATTAGATTATTATTAACAAGTGGAAAACTTTTGGAGAGGGGATGCTTTTTTGGGACATTCTTATATCACACCATTCGTTTAATAAGTTTAACAGATTTTCTACCACATAAAAATGAGTTGATTTGATAAAATTACATGTAATTTCATCCCTTTCTAATTCAAGAGGAAGTCCAATGGCTAATTTGGAAATAAGCTCATTTAGCTGAATGGTTAAGTTTTCCCAAAGTTTGGTACAATTATATACAGAAAGTAGAATAACTAAGTAAAGTAATTTCTATTCACCTGTTATTAATGAAGTTTTGTCTACCATCTTTATCTTCTGGGTCTCTGCCCATTTTCTTGCTCCTTCACCAACCATGAAACTGAAATAATTAATAACTCATTTCGCATATCATTCCTATTATAATGAAATGATTAATAACTCATTTCGCATATCATTCCTATTATAACAACTCGTATCATTCAGAGGCAAAGCAAGGTTCTAAAATTAGGCACAACAAAATGAGTTAAAGTCAAAGTATTATCGTTCGAGATGAAGGCAAAATACCATCATTAGACTTGAAAAATGTATGAATTAATATATATGAAATATTATTGAAGCAGTTAGCTTGTCCATCTCATGTCTGATTACGACTGTGTTATTATTTCTTTATGATAAGAAAATGGAGAAAAAATAGTAACATTTAAATCATACTAGCCAAACTTGTTCAAGATTATTTCAAGGCCATACAATCCACAGAATTCCTCTCATGCAGAAAAGTATCTTTCAAGGTGCAATAAATTCATATTGAACATTTACAGCAATGTCAAGGTCAGTTGATCCTGTCTTACCAAGAGTTTCACTGTTTCTTACCAAGGTGGTATTCGTCCCAGAGATAAGGAACCCTCCGTCTGTTTCACCAATAACTCCCTGGCGACCTCTATTGGATTTTTGACACCTTCAACCAACAAAATATAATAATTTTAATTTCAAGTGGTACAATTGGGGACAGCAATAGTTTCATCATAAAGTATTTTTTGTAATAAAATGACTTATAAATCGCATACTGTACCTTGCAGAGCCCCTACAGCACCAAACTCCAGACTCTCCCCATCCATGATGCTAGCGTCACATTCTACGGTGCCATCTATAGTCAAATTAGAGCCTAAGCCAGCATTTGTGTGTGGGGAATCCTGTGAAATAAAAAACACATTTTAAATCAAACTTTATGTTCCCTGTTCTAGCTGATTTTGATATTACCATTATGAAGTAATAAAAGGATTTTATTTATTTTCACTTCAAAAAGTACATTATATTCTAAAGTTGTTGATTCTTGCAGTGTTGCATGTTGGGTACTACAGCATACCTCCAGTGCGGCAACAGCACGAGTTACTATATCAACAGCAGACTTGCCCTCTCTGATTGCAGCCATTGCCTGGAAACATTGTATTATAAAATTATTAACACAGTTAAGAAGTTTTTTTACCAACTACTCAAAGAAACAACATCTTAGTACTATGTACACGTAAATGTAAAGTTTTAATGCAGACGCAATACCTGAATATGGAATAGTAAGACAGAGTCAAAACTATAAGTTACTATGTTCAGCAGTTTAATTAGCAGATTTTCACTGTTCTTCTGTTAGCAAAATCGCCTGTTATTTTGATAAATTTTGCAACTATTTCCAACTTTCCATGATGAAATCATAATTTTCAATAATTTTGCCTGTTCTAATTATTTTTGCCCGATGTCAGCAGCAATTCTATTAACACCCTTGATGTTGTTACAAAATGTTTTTTCGACATGCCTTGTTGATGATGACGGACATGTATGCCTTCATGAAATTCTAAATTTTTTATTGTACAACTTACCACTCTACATGCCTTAGCACATACGCTTGTGTATTTCATCTCATTACATGGGGCATGGTATCCTGCACCTGGAACACAATATATAATATCATTTATTTTATTTTAAATCATTAGGAGTCCATGAGAATGTAAGGTTAGGAGATGTTGATAGACAATATTTTTAGGAAAGGCTTGGGAAAGTTAGTTGCCTTAATTTTCTCAAAATATTATGAGAAGACCAGAGGAGGCTACTTTCTATGAATCTTAATTTGAAAAGTAAACGAGAAACAAATACACAACAAATGAAATAAAATCTTAGCAAGTTACACTCATCAAATTAAAATAATCTCTCTAAATATCAAGCAATAACATCATGTTATTCTGACATACTGTACCTATGTGTAAAGCTATGAATCCCTTAAATTCTGATTGTCCCTTTTCATTGATGGATGATGATGCAGCATGGGATGTGTTGACATCCTCTGTGGATGCCATTTGGTCTAAATTGTTTGTTTTTTGCTATCATTCAATTCCCTGAAATTTAAAGGCATAAAATGAGGAGATGTAAAAGCCCTTAAGAAATTCTTCTTTTGACCAAGGGATATGAGCTGAGTTTGATATCATAAGTTAATTTTTTTGCTTGAATATAGTTCTGAGTACTGTAGCGGTTACCATTGGTAATTTGGTTTCCTGTATAAAAAACAAGCCTTTTCTCCTTTTCTGGCCCAGCACAGTGCCATTTAGTATTGATAAATGAATCAAGGTTTATTCCTGATAGGGCAGTAGGCTAAGTACTGTAACGACCCTTGGGCATGCTCGTCGGGGAGTTGAGTGTACCGAGCCAGATACTAGACTCGAAAGAGAATGTGCTAAATTCAATGCCCCGTACGGGAATCGAACCCAGGACCTTCTGCTCTCAGAGTCAGACGTTCTACCCCTGAGCCATAAAGGCTAGCCACTACAGCTGAGACTGTAGACCCCCAGATTAAGATGATTGGGATTCCAACAATTGATACTCTCTCTAATATTCATGTGCTACAGAATATAAGAAAGAGGAGTGACTTTCTCCCCGTTGATTGGGATTTGGACGTGACAATTGCGATTCGGACCAATGGATGGGGAGACCCAAAAAGTTCTACTGGATCTATAAGCTGGTTATATACTTGTTCCTTGATACTGACAATATATCAAATGAAAAACGAAAACAACAGTCCGAGGGAAAGAAACTGAAAACACAAATGACAGTGTATCACATCGCATCACAGAGAAAAGTTATTTCAACCATGCGGGTCAAAATCACGAATATCCCTTAAAAGGTTTGGATGTAATCAGTCTGCTGAAAAATATAGAGTCGTGGTGGAAATTACTAAAATGCTCTTACCTACCGTAGATTATTCGAGGGCGCTGACATATTCCCAGAATGCAACAAACCGAACATCCGGCGCCGTTTGAAAAAATAAAATAGTAAGATATTTTGTTTAATTTATGCAATAAAGGCAGTTAGTATTGCGTTTAGATATATCTTAACGTATCCAAAACGTTCTGTAGTTAGTGTTGATTGGTTTATAAACGATCAATAAGCTGTGAAATGTGAAGAATATAAAAAAGAATCTCACAATTGAAAATTGGTGGGTGATAATTGACAATAAAATTTATTTTTTATTTCTCAAAAACTGTTATTCAACGGGGATCAAAACATAAATATACAGATGGCCAAAATATAAACAATCTACTAATTTGAATATTTATAAATATAATCTCTCGAGAGCATGACCTTTCTTACAACTTTGATTTACCTGGCTTTCAAGGCTGCCTCTAGGGTGTTTCATTTTTCAAGAATGTTCTCAGATCACAGGGGCCCTTTGAGGTAACAAGTGGTGCTGGTAGTTCACTGATTTTTTTCAGGTAACTGGTCGTTGTTGTTGTTGGTATCCTAATGGTGACTTTATGTCACCTATTAGTCTCTCGGTGCTGGTTTATCACTAGGTTGCTATAGCTCTCTGTGCTGTCACTTTTTGTAAGTCACTTGTTGGTCCGTCGGTCATTCTTTCTGTCCCATTGGATTACATTACATTTTCAATAGATAACATAGTTTCGCACTTCTTTGCTAAAATCATTTGCCAGGAATGGTTAGAACAATTTTTCTGTTATAAGCATTTGGGAATACATCAAAACACTCTCATTTGATGCAAACTGCACTGTTATAGCACTTTTTATCGCTGAAATTTTTCCAGTCTACTAAACCTGGGGAGGGGGTCAAAATAAAAATTGATTTCAGCCACTTTTATTCTTAAAACATGTTCTATTAGATTTAAAGCCCCCTAGCCATTAGATCTGCCATATGTTTGCGATAAAAAGTGCTAGGACAGTCTAGTTTGCATCAATTTAGACTGTTTTGATGTATTCCCAAATGCTTATAACAGAAACATTTGTTCTAACTATTCCTGGCATATGAGCAGCAAAGAGCAAACTATTTTTTCCATTGAAAAGTGGGCGTTTCCCGCAATGTACTGTAAAACGGGTAATTTTGACACCTGGAAATTTTAGCGATTTTTCAATTTTAGGGGGTTTTAGCGCGGGAAATTTTAGCGAAATGAAGATTAATCTTTAAAAAACAAATTAGCGAAATGCATTAGAAATTTTATCATTTATGGCAGAAGAATGAATAACGGACATCAAAATGTAAGACTTCTAGTTCTAATGCACATGGTATTGGTTCAAACTACTGTAATCTCATCTGACTAATCGCAAAATCACGGTAGCATTTAAAATCGATTTAAAAACACTGATTTAAAAATATTTACCTTTTTCAAATTACAAACCGTTGGTCGAGCACTGAACGAAAAGCTCCTTAAATACTAGATTAGTATTCATGTAGTTTCCCAGGAATTTGCAAATTTTAGCGCCCGGTTTATTTTAACCCCGATTTATTTTAGCGAATTGAATTTTTAGCGAAACTATAGCGATCGCTAACAATCGCTAACAATTACCCCTCGCTAACAATACCCATTTCACAGTAATCCAATAGAATGGCTGACAGACCAGTTTGAACGTTATCTGATTTTGTGGAAAAAAATCAGTGAACTACAGGCACCATTTGTAACCCCATGTTAAAGGGCCATTGTGATCTGAGAACATTCTTGAAAAATGAAACACCCCAGCTGCCTCTTTATACCAGCCTTGACTTACCTTCTTCCAGGGTTGTTTTTGAATTTCAGCATATCAGCTGTTTCTGTTAATATGACACATTAGCATATTTTTCAAGAAAAAATAAACCATTGCTCATGAACTATTACATTCATTTTTCACCACCTCTGTGTCATTTTTTTCAGATATACATTGGTTCAGCACCTGTCCTGATGTACTACTAGAGACATCTATTCTATATGTGATGCCACGGCACAGTAAAATTCAGCTTCAAGTCCTCAGTCTTTACAGACAATTCCTGAGAGTAACTAAGGACAAACCCGGATTTCATGAAAGTATAAGAAATGAATTCAAGAAAAATGCCTCAATTCCTAGAAAGCAGACAATGCAAATTGAATATTTAATACGTAGAGGACAGAATCAATTAAAAGTTTTCCAGAGCCCTCAAGTTAAAGGAATGGGCGTCTTCGTTAATGAGGAAAAGTAAACTTTGCAAGGACATTGAATAGGCGAGTAAAGCATTATGGCACTGAGACAAATTTTTGGGAAGGTAATGGATCGTTTTCCAACCACACGTTTAGCTTTCGCTTATGGCTCTGGAGTTTTCCAGCAAAAAGGCCACAAGGATATGTCAAAAAATATTTTGGATTTTATATTTGTTGTGGATGATCCCATTGTTTGGCATCAACAAAATCTAGTTAAAAATGCTCAGCATTATTCAATACTAAAAAGGCTTGGTGCAAAAGGAATCACATCTATCCAAGATAACTATGGTTCTGGAGTATACTTTAACACGTTAGTACCATGCGAAGGAAGGATTATCAAATATGGCGTAATTGGCACAAAGAGGTTGATCACAGACCTGTTAGAATGGGACACATTGTATGTTAGCGGGCGTCTTCATAAACCTGTGCTTCTATACCAGTACACAGATGAAATAGGCAAGGAGCTAACACATGCCATCAATAACAACCTAGGGAGTGCAGTCCATACTGCATTGCTGCTCTTGCCTGAGACATTCACTGAACTGGAACTGTATATGACAATAACTGGACTCTCGTATGGTGGCGATTTTCGTATGATTGTTGGTGAAGATAAGAATAAGGTGCGTAACATTGTTGAACCAAATATCGAGCATTTCCGTAGCCTTTATCAGCATATTTTGAGCAAGCATGAGAAGTTGTGGTGGCGTGCTAATGATGGCGTTTATGAGCAACATATCACGCATGTCAGCCAGTATGAACATATGGATGCTCTACCACTATGCCTCATACAAGGTATGGTCAGGCACTTCAATAAAACTGGCAAGAATTTAGATGTCGAAGAAGTATTACGCATTCTAGCTCAGGATACACATAGTGATGACATCATCAAATCCGCCCTGCGTAAGATAGTTCAGCGCTCTAGTTTGACACAGAGTATCAAAAGTATCTTTACAGCAGGGACCATGAAGTCGATCAAGTACAGTGGAAGTAAATTGAAAAAAATGTTTAAAAGCAAATGATGTTAATCGGAATAGGAAAATATTCTAGAGAATAAGTTAATGTGTACAACATATGTGATCAAATGTGATACTGTTTTTAATGTTTTGTGTGTAAAATTACTTTGATGAGGAAAGTTAATAAATTTCTTGATTTGTGTATCATATTCATTTCTAATGTTGGTCAAAACTTTAGTCTGGCAAATGTTTATCCTTTAGGTCTTGGCTCAAGTTGCTTCTACCATTACAATACATTGCCTAATTCCCCAGCAGTCATTTAAGCCTCCCCTCACCTCATGTCTGAAACAACAGCAATTAACCGTCTGCTGTTGAATCTAGTTTGTCATGATTTTGTGGCACCACTTTCTTATAGTAAAAAATAAAGGGAAGTCGTTAATTGTTCAAACAGTGATTTGTAAATGAAATATTTCAAACTCACAATGCAGGGGTTTCATTAGCAGAGGCAACAGGCAATTTTCACCAGTTGTTTTCACAAAATCACCTGTTGATTTTAGGGAGTTTTCCAAGTTAAATTTATGATTTCGATTTTGCCTGTTGTTTTCATTTATTTAGCCTGTTTTGAGAAATTCTAGTGAAACCCCTGCCATTTCATTAATGTTAATTCATACACTGCAGAAAGAAGAGATTTTTTTCGAAATATTGTTTTTTGTTTGATGGAAAACCTCTTACCTCTCCTCAAATAGCAACCATAGGATTAATAGCAATCTTCAGCAACCTTAACGTTAATGAGAAGTGAGCATCTCATACCATTTGCCATTTTGTACAAGACTTTGTATTGGTATTGGAGTGGTTCTGAAAGGATTATTACAAGACTAGGGATATATCAGAAATATATTCAGTGTTCTCCCCAGGATTTTTTCTCAAGTGGGTGCAAAATTCTCATTTTCACAATTCAGTTCAAGTGGGTGCAAATGAAATCTCAGGTGGATGCTACGTCCACTTGCTTTAATGCTGGGGAGATCACTGATATTGTTGCTTACTAGATTCATGCTTTGAATAATTCAAAATGGCCACTCAAATGCACTTAAAATGTTCATCCAAAAATTTAAATTTTTTGTTCTCTTCAAAGTACATGTATATCTTTAAATGTAAAATAAACTATTAAATAGTAAATTGTGATTGTCACTCTTATTGCCTATAGAAGATGTTCCATTGTGGAAATGATTCAGTTGAATTTTTTAAAATAAACTATATATGATATACATGTGGCCTTTTTACATTTCTACTTTTATTAAATATGGTGAAATAATCATTTGAAATTTCAACAGCATGGATAGCGGCTGAATACACTCATAATATTTACCAAGCTTTACAAACAAACATAAAACATAATATGTTCTATCCATATACATATATTTCATGTATTTTGATATTTCTTCCACTACTAAGTATGCATACAGAATACTTCTATATGCTGCTTTTTACAAACTGGAATGTTGTTCATTACTCAATCAATAGTAAATATAAACACTATCAACAAACTTTTAAAGCAGACTACTGAATCACATTACTTAACACAACATGCATTTCAGGTCTTTCCAAAAAACACTTCTTTGGTTCTTTTAATCCAAGTATGAAAATTGATAGAGCCTTCTGTATCAAAAAGTGCATGTACTGAATTATTTCGGCTGATACTGCTGAAATAGCCATGATTTACTCCTCAAATTAGCCACACTTCATTGCAGTTGAAAACATTACAATGCATGATTGTAGAGCAATGCATAGCCAGGATTTGCCAAGGGGGGTTCACTTTTTGAAAATTTCCAAGGGGGTTCACTTTTGACATTTTTTCACTTAAAATGTGCTCAGAATGATGAAAAACTTCATGATTTTGAAAGAATTTTTGGCCAGGGGGGGGAGGGGGAGGGTTAAAGTTAAAAGAACCCATTGACCCCCCCCCCCCCTGGCCACGGGCCTGAGAGCATACTTAGAAATGATTCCTAAAACTAGTATGCCCAGGATCAAGTGTTATTTTAAAATTTTATTGGAAAGAGCTGAATACATGGACATAAATATTGAACTAGGCCTACTCCAATTCACAATTCAAGTCTCACAGCAAACTGAAGTTGTTATTATATTGCAAAATCCACTGTACACAATATAAAAAATTACAAAGTATAAACAATATAAAAGTAACAGATTCAGCAATACCTTCTTATCTACAGCTCACAATACTCTACCAAAAGTAGAATATGGCTGCTCAGTCTACATCCATGACAAAATAGGTATTGTACCTACCTGTTTTATGTATGTATCATAATGAAATTAAGATACAGTAGTTGCAAATTGTTCAGATATAACAAGTCATAAAACCCCTGGGGGACGGGTTCCCTTGATGGTATACTCGGTGCATGCCATGCATAATTCCAGGATCTTATTCAAGAATGGTCTGAAACTTTTAGTTATGATAATATGTTCAGATTTTCCCACTTTTTGGAATGGAAATAGAATGGCCATGGATGAAACCTCACCTCACATTTGTGCTAGAACATTGGTCCACTTGCACATATCTTTTAATATATACAGTGAATCCCCATCCATATAATAAGTAATTTTACAAAGATGAATAGACTAGATGCGAGTAGAAAAAATCTTGATTACGCCATTAAATATTCAAAATTCAGTCAAAGCGATGTTATATTTGAAATCTACATGTAAAAGTACATCTAGAAATATGGTTTCGAAAATTGTTTATCAAGTTTGAAAATTTAATTATTTTTGAAAGTGGGACTTCTAGTTCGGGTTGATTCTCCATAGAGTCCATGTTACAAAATCACAAAAAGTGAAATATCTTTTCTTGTATTGGTCAGATAACATTTTCATTTACTGTATATATTTTGATTTGCATAACTATTAGATACACAAGGGTTATATGAAAATCGAACCACTAAAACAGATGTTATTTAAGTTAAAGAGAACTTTCTACTATACCCGCCATGCTATCTGACCCGAACGAGCCACCTGTTGGTGAAACTGGTAACTACCTACTCGCATCTGTGTTATTAAACTTCGATGAAAATGAAAATTCTTAAATCTAGCATTTGTAATCAAACAATGTAGCTGATAAGACAGCATTAAAGCAAATATGGCATTAGGAAATGGCAAGCGTTAACATCAATGTAACTCTTTAACAAAATCTCCCTTATATAGAATTTTTTTTATCATGTTCAAAGGTAATTTATAGATCAAACACAGACTTCTAAAGCTATTAACCCCAAAATCATTATGAAATAGGGAGAATAAAGGACAAGGGGGTTAGTTTCATTTTTCTGTGTTTGTTTAGTCATGGTAGAGATATACTAATAAGACTATCATTTCTAAAATACTTTTTATCAAAATTATGTTCAGTTTAAGTAATTTTAACCCTCAGAAGCAGTAATATGTTTTATATGATCAACTTTTACATTTATATGATCAAGTTTATAACAGTAAATCCCTTAAAGTATAGGATTCCATTGTTTCAACAAATGAATGGACATTTACAATGCTATAATACATTTTTCAATTGTGCATTTGACACTCTATCAGAGGAATTAACGGATATTGGTTTCTTGTTCATTTCTGAAATAATCAACACCAGTTTCAGACTTCTTTATCATTCTTACAAAGAGCTGCCTATGAAAACAACTTTACTGAGAGTATAAAAATTAATATTTAGAATTTAGTTTGATCTATTTGATGATTTGATCTGAATAATGATACCATATTCTTCCCTTTAAACATGCATTAAGCACACAATGATCCAAATCTCCAGATCTCTAGTACGAGTTGATTAATTACACCAAGTTGTATTTTTCATATCAGGCTCAAAATCCAACAAATACATTGGGTGTTTAAAGGAAGAATATAGAAAAACTCATGTTATCTGATTTATTCACATCTGTAGATGAATGAAATTCCCTATTGAAGCATTTAGGTTAAAGTTCATCTTTGTCTTTGATGTAGTCTTTTACGCCATCTAAATCTTTATCAATTTCTTCTTTGTTATATGTGGGTAGAGCGCTGGAAATACAAGTGCAGTCATGGCTTAGTTATGTTTTGAAATGCACAATAAAGAGGATAAGAGTGAAATTATTAAGGATTAACAGGCATATTGTCAATACTTTCAACTGGATAGATTCTTGAAAATCTGAATCTTCAATCTTTAGAGAGAAAGATAGTGGAACAGGCTTAAGAACCATGAATTTTTCTAACTACTGAGCTACTTATATTTAGAGTCAGGGTTTGTTTTGGGCAAGGTCTTATTCATGTGTCAAAAAAGCCAGGGATAACCAAAACAAAAATTGATGTTGTCAATGTCATGAAATACACTTTTGATCCAGTCTCTGTCAAACTAAATCAAAAACATTTTAGACATCAATGTTTTGACATCGAAAAAAGGTCAATATGTGGAATAATATACAAATGGTGACTGCCACAGTGCATCGGGCAATAGTGTAAATAAGTTCTCCAAGGGAATATCTCAAATGAACTATTCTCAAAGCTGTAGCCTTTAAAAAGTACTTGCCTCATGATAGTTGATGATATAGTATCTACCATGCCTCCAGGCTTGCATATTGTGTCACAGAACATTGAGCAAAACTTGCAGTATTTACAGTACTGAAATGAAACATGAAAATTGTGAAAACTACATTACTGAAATAAAACATGAGGAAAACTTGAATCTTAGCAATGTTACTCTCTATTGTGATAAAAAACGGTGACTTTTCTTAATGTTCTAGTCAAAAATGAAAAATATGAAGTTTTAGTACATTTGAATCAGGTACAAAGTGTAGTATACAATGCATTTGGAAAAGTGATTAACAGCTGAAAGAAAAAAATCATTAATTTAACTTTCACATTTCGGAAATCAAACATTAGAAAAAAGTTAGTTTCTAGAAAAGTAGAATATTGTTTTTAAGAAATAGTATCAATGATATTACCTTGCACATGTGGCAGTTAGGTTTTCCTGGGCCAGTTGTACATGGGCAGTCTTCATCACAAAGCTTACAGAACTGAAATAATACAATGTTGTATACACAAGTAAACTTCAGCGAAGGCATGTCACTCGATAAAGGGAACCAGAAACCTATATGAAGTAGAAACATATCAATCATATCATGTATGCAAATGTCATCTCTCATGATTTCTGGAAGTTCTGATCTGTTTCGGTAACAATATGGTTACAGTTTCAAGCAGAAAGTTCGGTGAGATTTTCTAATTTTTTGATTTCTTGAGATATAGCATAAACCATCCCAATCTTTCTGGCACAAATATGTTTAAGCATCATATGTTTCTGGAAATCCAAGTGATTTTGCACAAAATAGTTTGTGGGATGACAGAATTTTCAATTTAATTCCTCACTTTTGTAACATAAACAGAACTTCAAAAACGGTTTCATCTACTTTGAACATTTACATAATAATAGTGAGGTATCAAATCTATGATTCTGCTGTTTTTTGAACTACATGTATTTGTTTGCAATAACATATGATACTGAAAATGTAATGAAAATGTTGTTGAAATTCTGCCTACAACTTGTGAAATAAGGAAAAATGAAAAATGTTTCATTGTAAATATTTTGCAATGTGTGAAAGTATTTAGCCCAAGACTTGATGCATTATGGCTGACTCATTCCACTCAGGCATTGTTTCCTAAACTTTGCATTCCTGCTGCCCAGTCATGCAAAGATTTGAAAATAACTGCTCCAAGGGAATGATTTACTCATTCAGTTCTCAATCCAGGGCTAATCTTTAAGGTAAGACATGGTCACTGGTTCTGCACTCTTCAAAGGCCTTCAGACTAGTTACTGAAACAGATCTTTTTCGGAACCTCCAAGGTTCAAGGTGAGTCTGCATTTTCAGAATTTTGCTGCATTTCTCAAATGAGTCACATGTTATTTTTAAATAGGAATCACTCCTTCACGCTGAACAGAATTTCCTTCATATTATTATTTAAAACTACAAGTGCGGAATTTTTTTCGTCAAATATATTGACGTTTTTCAAATGGATAATGCACATCTTTATCATGATTTTTGAGATTCGTCAGATCGAGATAACACCCTAAAGTTATCCCGTTCCCGGACTATAGTCCTGCACTGAGCGCATTCATTTGCCTGTACGATTACAACTTGGGAGAATTATCTACGCCCCTTACACTTAAGATACCTACCTCAATGCATTATAGAACTCAAGATGTAACTTCTAATATATTGGAACCGCCGATTGTCTGGGTATATCGGCACAACGGGAACATTTCTCTTTTTCATCGAGAGAGATTCCATCACTTTTCAAAATGGCGGTTGGATTTAAAAGGGGAATCCCCCGTTTGGCTGTCCCGGATGTAGACCGGAAGTACCAATATGGAGGAATTTGACGGTTGAAATAAGTTAAATGTTACACGCAAATATTGCGATCAAAAACGAAAATGTCTTCGTTCTGCCGATAAACCCAGACAATTGTGGATTCAACTACACGAAAAGAATGCTAAATTACCAAGGAATCTATTGAAGTAGGTATCTGAAGTGTAAGATGAGTAAAAATTCTCCCATGTTGTAATCGCACAGGCAAAAGATTGAGATGTTCACAGGACCATAGTCCGGGAACGGGATAACCCTAAAGGATCTAGAAAAACATATTTAATACCTCATTTTTTCTAGTATTCATGAATAAATATTACGTCACATCATTTCGTTATTATGAACTGCTTCCCAGAATCTGAGACCATCATAATTAGGTCTCAGCCAGAATAAAAAAAAACTTAATCTTACTTTTGAAGTTCCGAAAAGGATCTATTTCAGTAACTAGTTTGAAGAGTGCAGAACTACTACTTTTTTCAAGGCCTGACTTCGTCGCTAACATGCTAAATATAAGAGTTAGCTGACGTTTGGGAGTCTGACTTACCTTCTAAAGGTTAGAACCCAAATCTTAATGAAACCATATCACCTTTGTTGCGTCGATGATGATGCATAAACATAGCATTTGATAGAAATTAGCGTAAATGCTTTTCCGACTTTTTCATTTTTCATCAATGTTGACTTCCGGGAAGGCGTTGTAGTTATCACGAAATAACGCATTGACCCTTGAACTTTACTTTGTTGACGTGTCAACCAAGCATGTCTGGTGTGAAAATTAAAAGAATATTAAGCAATGTTCTACATCCGCCAAGCTAAGTGAAGTAGTCAATATTTAAAATTACCAATTTCAAGTGAAGTACGCAACGAACGAAACTGCGTGATCTACACTCGCACTATTGGTCTGAATGAAATGCTACGTAGAAATATGAGCCGTCTGCTGTATTAGTCGATTAATAGAGTAAGACCTGTTGGTGATGCTTTATAATTTAGACCAAAACATTGAAGAACAAACGAACCTGTAAATCGTGAAAACAACGAACAAATATTCAGTTTTCACATATGTTCGGTAATTTTTCGTATTGAAACTTCCGGAACTTACAAGGAAATCATTCATTTTCTCGGTCCATGATTTACCTCTTGGATGTTGTGGCAAATGCTCCATGGTTGACGGAACAAAGGTGATATGGTTTCATTAAGATTCGGATTCTAACCTTTAGAAGGTAAGTCAGACTCCTAAACGTCAGCTAACTCTTATATTTAGCATGTTAGCGACGAAGTCAGGCCTTGAAAAAAGTAGTAGTGACCATCATAGGCCAAGGGAAAAGTAATAGTAAACTGTATATATCTTCTATAGAATCTATACGGCTTACTATTACTTTACCCTTGGCCTATGGTGACCATGATATACAATTTTAATTGCAAGACACATTCATTCTAAAGTAGATCTGATATTTCTAACCAATGGAATTTACCTTGCAATAAGTGCAATATCCGCATAATGATCCCTTCGCATATTCCAATTCCTCTTCGGTTATTGGCTTTTCACCTTCCTCTAGCGTAGCAGCATCTTCACCAGTTGTTGCTGTATCATCTGCACATAACACAACTCCGGCTAAAGTCAATATAAAGACTAAAAAGTAAACTTTGTTGGACATTTTTGAAATTTTGGAAATCGTAACCTCCATCTTTAAACTAAAACACAGTCCAAATATTTTGATAGGATATTTTATTTTCTATCTTTTGGTATCTGGGCAGCCTAACGCAACGATTTGAATGATTGCGTATTGGCTATGATAAAAACTTAATGTTTTGACAAGGAATGACATTCATCCTGATTTTAGGAACAAAGTTAATCATGAATATTTGGACTGTGTTCTTCGTTTAGCCAATCAGATACATACGCGTTTTTAATTAGTTGACTGTAGGCGGGAAGTTTGAACTTGATAAAGTTTTAAAATACCGTACTTCTTTCGCTGAAGGAGATTCTATTATTCTGCAATAGTACCAGCTCATGTTCATGATCCATCATAATTTGATTCTTCTATTTTGACAGCAAAGAATAAAGAGTGCATAATAATTTCAGAAAGTATGGGGATATCATGGGCTTTCAATTCTAGTTGAAAGCCCATTGGGATATCACGTGATTTGACTTATTGTAATCAAGACCTCTCGAAGATATCATAGCATCCTTTCAATATTGGATACATGAAACCCATTTAATTAAGTGTACAAATGCTGAGAGCACTTGTCAGAATAGCTATATTATGCAGTAAAATGGAGCCTGTTATCCCTAATCAGAGACATATATGTCTCTGCCCTAATCAACCAAAGTAAGACATTCCTTAGTGCAAATTCAGAAGGTAGTTGCTTGGTGTCTTCTTTGAAATGAAAAATACATTTAGAAATTATTTTGAAAAACAGATGATGCTTCAATATTACTTCATCTAACTTTGACCATCATATGCCTAAAACTATAAAATGAAACCAATATAATAGGTTAGGTGCGTTTTCATTCTGTTTGAGTAACCCATCACTCTTCAGTTCCATATATGGCTTCAATTTTGAATACGAGGGTATGGCTTCACTGTATACACTCAGGTGCATGAGGCTGAATTAACAAAACAACATAATTTCTTTTATATACTGTATTCATTTATTACTTTATATTCAGAATAGCTTAGCTGCCATTAGAAAACGGGAAAATAGAATTGTTATGATATTTTAAACAACAAATTGTGAATCATAAAGTGAACATTCCAATGCAGGAAAATAGAAAAACTTGATGAATTTTTCTGGAATAATTTCAAATAAGACTGCTATATGTGTGCCTGTGCGTAGCTTCATGAAATACATTGGGAAAGCCATTATTCATGTTATTTCACAAAACTAAATATATGTATAAACAAGTAACATTTGAAATACATGTATGATGTATCTTCTTCATCGTCACAATAAGCAACTACCCCTTCCATTCTTCACCTTATTGCATGAATTACAAGCTAATATTGTTCGGATTTATCAACTGTCATGACCAATTTCTTTTTTTTGATCATCAGAGTTAACAAAGCTTATTACAAGCATTAGCTGCATTGAGATCCCTCTAAACATAATGGCATTTGGCAATACGCATATCTACTATAGGCATATACATATACGAGGGTTGTCCCAGAAGTAATGCACTATATGCTCTAAGAAAGATAGAGCATATAGTGCATTACTTCTGGGACAACCCTAGTATTAGGTTCCCTTTCTGTTGTTTTATTGATGAACTTAGTGTTTTTTCTATATTGATAATGCTGGTGGTGCAAAATGTAAAACATATTTAGACAGTTAGATACAACTCCCACTATTGATGTGCTTGAGAAGACCCAAAAAGGACCTTCAGTACGAACCAGTAGACATGACAAAAAGCAGGTAGAAAAATACATTTTTTTACAAACAACCATGTTTGAAGATCAATCACTGCATAAATTGTGTCTTTTGTCCTATGATTAACACCTATGATCTTTTACATATACAACTTGATATGTTGATCATGTTCAAAATCTAAAAAATATCTCATATAATACACAGTTCACACTTTAGAACTTTTGTTTCTTGTAACTGCAACTGTTAGTGCATTCTTTAATACAGTGACTACACTCCTAAAACGCAATACCAATATTTTTCTTTACATTTAAACTTGTGAATATTCACTTGGGATTTCTTTGCATATTTACTTGCTTCTGTAATACTTTCAGTTGGAAAAAGCTATACAGGCTTACTAGGAAAATACAGAGTTTTTTTCATTCTGTAATTTACATGTAATATCATGATTTGTGTTATTGGTATAAATGTCAGATACAACAAAATAATGTGAAACTAGCGTTGGAGTTGTTTCCCATTTAAAGTCAAATTTTGTGTTTCCATAATTTTGTCAAACGGTCCACAGTGTTTTGTTCTCTGCTTTAGATTCTTCATTCTTGTTTGTATCTCCTATTCATACATATGCCTATATAGTCTCTTTCTTATCACATTATTCCATCTTGGGGAATGCCGTGGTTGGCTTGCTGACTCCAGCATCTTGCTGGGACCACATCTGAGTGACAGTCTTTACTTGAGTGTAGAAATTAATTCCCTGAAAAAATAAATAGAAAAGTATTTATTTGAGATCACTAGGATTCATATGTACACTGACACCTTTTAACAACCAGTTTCAACAACTATGATACAAGTTTAGCGCAATACTTAACACCTTGAAAACATTGATAATTCAGCATCAGAAAAGTTTGTACTTCTACTAAATAAAGGTCTTGAGGAAATAAAATCATTCAGTTAGTCAATAAAAAGAATATCAAGGCTAGTTGACTTACTTGTTTTCCATAGAAGTTTGTGTCTCCCCTGAATGATCCTCTTGAGCCAGTAAATGAGAACATGGGCAATGGTACAGGGATAGGTACATTTACACCAATCTGGAAGAAAATATTGGAATTGGATATATATATTGGAATCAAGGAATATGGGGTGTTCATAATACTAACACATAGTTCATGAAACTACATATAAAATATGATGTGGAATTCTAAATCATGTCATGATTCAAGTCAACTATAAACATGTTTTATTGTTTGCATATTGCTTACATAAGTTCATTCAAGTACAAGTGCATTCAGAAGAATCTATAAAACCCTACCTGTCCAACATCAATTTCTTGAGTGAATTTCCTAGCAGTTGCTCCATTAGTGGTAAAGATTGCAGTGCCATTACCATATGGGTTGTTATTTATAAGCTCAATAGCATCATCAAGTGTGTCTACCTCAGTGCTGACTAAAACTGGGCCAAAGATCTCCTCTGTGTAGCATTGCATGTCGGGCTGGAATGCAATTATGGGAAAGGCACATTAAGATGGCCAAGTAGAGTGATTCTGGATAATCGTTTGGCTTTTATATATACAGTACAGAAAAATATGTCTGATCTGAATGCAGCTGGGACCAGCAAAAAGTATTGATTGACAGGTGTCTATATTTCATAATTTTGATAAAATTTTCGAAAGGGTTTCATGAAAAATCAAACATTGACCAGGGTGAAGTACACAGTTGCTCTACTGTAGGGGAAACCACAATGACGGCATATTGGTAATTGACAGATCCAAGGTTATCAAACAACATAGATTTGGGAGTACTATTATTAACTACCATTCATGAAAACACAGGATCTGGTAAAGGGCAAAAATTGTGGATTCAAAACTGTTCTTGTGCATACACTTTTACGTACATTAACTGTTTGCCATTGATAATGTTATCTTGAACTCACATGGGGCATATGCATATAAAATACAAATAATATTGGGCTAACAGTATTTGAGTTATTGCCTGGATGGGTGGATGTACGGATGGATGGACATATGGATGGCTAGATCTATGGATGAAGCCATTTTCTATATCTCCCAAACTTTGTTTGATGGGATAATTCAAGAGGTTGACATACCTTTACTTTATGTAACACAGTTGGGCCAACAAAGTTGCCTTTCTCATAGCCTGGAACTTGAACATCTCTGCCATCTAACAGGAGGTCTGCTCCTTCATCTACACCTGACTGGACCAATCGCAGCACCTTCTCCTTTGCTGCAGGGGAGATCAGGGGCCCAAGATCAGCTCCTGGTGCAGTGCCTAGAGATTAACTTATATTATTAATGATGTGATAAAACCAACCATTTAGACAGGTATGAAGAAAGGTAATGTTGGCAAAAACAAATATCTTGTTCCATCGGATGAATCTGTTTACACTGAATGAACACAAAGGTGTTGAAGTTACCCTATATGTCAAAGAAATGTCAAAATGAGACAAAATGGTGCTAAACATTACTAAAATTTTCGAGTCATATATCAAACATTAAATATTTAGCATCTTACTTGTGAGAGTTACAACAATATCTTTCCTTATGCATCAAGGTTCTCTATCAATATCTTCATCAAAATATTTAGCATCTTACTATAATTATGAGAGCTACTACAATATACATATGCATCAAGGTTCAGTTAAAATATCTTCATGAAAATATTTTCCAGTTTAACTTACCGACATTGACACTAAGTTTACTGGCTCTTTCTACAATTTCAGGAATCCATTCTTTAGCTTCACCAACAAACACAGCAGTTGACAGTGCCATACACCTCTGCCCTGCTGCACCAAATGCTGCTCCTACCAACTGGAAATATGAAATGAAATAGTAGTTTGCCCACAAACTATTTTGTCCCCTTTATCATCTTTTTGATTCAAGAAGAGGATGACTTTTGGAGTAAGTGCCCACTTGGGTTGTCTGTTCAATAAACACCACATTGATTGACTAACATGCAAAATATCAGCTATAAAAGGATAAAAAGAAGTCAATCCCCTGACCTGAGCTGAGGTTAATTTGGGGAAAACTCTGTATGGATTCAACTTTTGACAGCAATGTTCACATTATTCTTTCAACCTAAGGTCATACAAGATGTATGAATCACTAAAAAACATGAAACCAAGTTTATCATGTTATCAACAGCTGTCCTTATTGTGACCAAATCATCAATGCAAGACATGCACATTATACCAAATCGATATAGCAAAAGTTTTCTTCAGTATCTTTCTTTTATCAGTTGAAAGGATTGATCATTGAACTGTAGTAAGTTATCGTTCATTTTGTAGGCCCATAGCCAGTATTTGCCAAGAAGGGCTCACTTTTTAAAAAAATTCCAGGGGGTTCACATTTGACAACTATGGCCCCAAATCACTTGAAAGTGCTCAGAAAGGTGATGAGCTGCATGATTTTGGAAGAATGTTTGGCCAAGGGAGGGGATGGGTTCTCTTGGCCCTACTGGCTATGGGCCTGTTTCGTCATGTGTCAATGCAGGGAGTTCTCTAAGACAAACACTTACCTGGTTGATGGTACTCTCCTTGTTGGCATCAGGCATGATGACACCATGGTTCTTGGCTCCCATGTTGGACTGAACACGTTTGCCATTCTTTGAGCCTCTCTCATAGATATGTGTTCCCTAGAGCATAAATAACATTTATATAAGATCTCTACAACATACATTACATTTACATATGACCTCTTACATTTATGTTTGACCTCAAGAACATCGATTACATTAATGAATGAGCTCTATATATCATTGATAAAATTAACATTCCTTGTATTATTGCCCTTAACCAATAGTAATTGTGATACATCATATATCTATTATAACAAAATTGAATAAAAGCGGTGATTTACTTTTATTTTTACAGAAAATTCATGAGCAAGAGAAAAAATGTTTTGCCATCAATTACCAAAAAGGTTTACTTACAGCCTGGTCAGAGCCAACGAATGAGATTGCTTTTATATCAGGGTTATCACAGATGAAGTTGACAGCTGAAAAAACAAATGACACATGTTATAAGTAAATAACAAGGCATTAACATGCAAAATATCACTGCCTGCCATTTGTTACAGACACCAAATGCCAACCGCTGATCACCGAACACCATCCAGAAAAAAGTTGGAGACTAACAATGTGTCACCACTTGTAGCCGGAACATAAAAATGGCATATTGATAATACAAATGACACTTAAAATACAGATTATACGAGGATGAAACAAAGGAAATAGGAATAGAATATACAAATATTGAAAATAGTAAAACAAAACATAGAAAATATTTATGTCACATGGAAAAAACAAATGACCAAAGAAATGATACAAATCACACACGTAAAAAACAAATGATGCAAGGAAAATACAAATGACAAATAAAAAATACTTATGCGATGTGGAAAATACTAATGCCAAATGGAAAATACAAATGACACCAGGAAAACACCAAAGGAATATGAAAAGTGACACATTTGAAATACTTATGCCACATGGGAAGTATGACACAAAGAAAATACCTATGAAACATGGAAAGTATTATAAATGACAAGTGGAAAATAAAAATGACACTTAGAAAATACCATGCCATATGGAAAATGTAAGTGACACATTAAGTATATATCTTTTAAAGATATGGAGAATAATACAGATGACACATGGAAAGTCTGCATGGTAACATACATGTATATCAATAACAAAATTTTTATCTCAACAACAGTATATATCTATCAATATCAGAATGCGTGCTCTATAATCTAAAACCCTCTCCTTTCTGAAAATTCCAGGGAGGGTTTACATTTCATAACTTTGGCCCAAAATCACTTAAATATTGCTTATAGTGAAATGATTGATTTTTAAGGAATCTTTGGCTACCCCTGTGGCTACAGACCTGATCTTTAGACATATGGCAATATATTGCTAGCTTCGGGTTCAGAATAACTTTTGGCAAACCAGAACAACGGCAACGCCAAAGCGTAGCAAATCCCATCAAACAGAAATGGCTGGCATTTTTACAAACGAAATATATAGAATCATAAAATAACACCCATAAGAAAGTAAGTAGCCACATATAAAATTTTTAAAAAATGTCACACACACATGTAAATGCTGGTCATTTTTTAAAATTGCCACCTACTACCCAAAATGTCAAAAGACAGTATGCAATCCTTACAAGTATTCACATATCAAATATGAATAAAATCGCTCTATTACTTTTTGAGTTTTAATAAAAAATGTAAAATAACACACATAAAAATGGTGGCCATTTTTTAAAATGGCTGACTACATTAGACAATGTGCCATGCTTAAAGTATTCACATATCAAATATGAACAAAATTGCTCCAATACTTTTTGAGTTATAGTAAAAATGTAAAAATGACAGCCATTTTGAAAATGGCCGCCTACTACGCGAAGTGTCATGAGACAGTGTGGAGGGCTCATGAGAATTCACATATCAAATATGAACATAATCGCTCCACTACTTTACAAGTTATAGTAAAAAATGTAAAAATGGTGGCCATTTTTCAAAATGGCTGCCTACTACCCAAAGTGTCATTAGACAGTGTGCCATGCTTATAGTATTCACATATAAAATATGAACAAAATCGCTCTACTACTTTTGAGTTAAAGTAAAAAATGTAAAATAACACACGTAAAAATGGTGGCCGCCTATGACCCAAAATGTCATTGGACATTGTGCCATGCTTAAAATATTCACATACCAAATATGAACAAAATCGTTCCACTACTTTACAAGTTACAACAAAAATCATAAAATGACGTGCAAAGGCAGCCATTTTTCAAGATGGCTGCCATGTATTTCTTCTATATTTACATTGAAAGCTTAATCAATGTCATATATAACTTTTTTACATTTAAAACATATTGCTATTACAGTTTTATATGCAGTACCTAAATTACTGTAAAATCAACACTAAAATGGCCGCCATTTTTAAATGAGCGGCCATTTTGAAAATCGGTTTTCGAGCAGAACTTCTACCCCCATTGGGTATATGTATACAAAATATGAACAAAATCGGGCCATCGGTATTTGAGTTATTGCCCGGACGGACGGACAGACGGACGTATGTACGGACGGACGGAGGCGTTCCCTATCCCTCCGAACTTCGTTCGATGGGATAATAAAAACTTACAATCATGTGCTCCATGGATGACCTGAACGATGCCACTAGGGAAACCTGCTTCTTGCGTCATCTCCATCAGCATCATGGTTGCTCCAGGGTCACGCTCTGATGGTTTCATTACCATTGTGTTGCCACATACTAGGGCCATTGGGAACATCTGCAACATATAATAAAAGGAATATGAATAATTCAATTGAAATGCTTTGAAAGCATGGTATACTGTACATGTACTAGTACAAAGTACTATTTTTAAAAATTAGATGATGTTACATTCAGACAACACAGTGATGGGATAATGTATATCAAGTAAGTAGGAAACAAAATACAAAACATTTTTTGATGGCATGACAGAACATTCTTCACTTGACTTATCCAAGACACTGAAGATGCACCCAAATGTTGAAAAATATTTTAATTCTGAGACCAAATGTCCAACAAAATTAAGTTCCATGCTTTAATCCTCAGATTTAAGGAGGAAACTCATTTACATGTTATAATAGGTGATGTTATCTTTGTGGACTTTGGGCAAGCTAGTGGAATTATGTTTGATAATTACTGCTGATTCTAAGGCATCTGTCAAACAAGTAAATAAAAAATAATATTGATGACTTTGATGATAAGCACCATTGAGTGACTTTGATAGAACATGGGTCTCAAACATGATGAGCTGGATACTCCTTGCAATTTTCACACTATTAGTAGGGGGGGGGGGGCTACAAATCAGTAGATTAGGCTAATCAGTATTGAGGTATTATCGGGTAATTGAAAAAAATTCCATTCATACACATACTTTCATATTTACACAACATTCAAAATTATTCATAAATCTAATTTCTCTAATGTGAGAATTGGTTGGCCCTGAAAAGGGCCTTTGGATTTCGATTGCGTCTTTTTCGTCTAATTTGAGGATGCAATGATCTCTTCATCCTCATCAAATGGTTCCATTTCCTCATCTTCCTCATCAGTCACCATGTCCCACTCATCATCTGTGTCGTCATCTTCATCATCTGAAAATGTCATCCCTTCAGCACGTTTCTTCAACTCCTCAACTTTGGCTGCTTGCTTCATGGCATATTCGTACATCATACATTTCAGGCCAGTCATCACGGAGAGGTTCAAGCGTAACGTGTATCTCGCTGATTGCTTGTTGTTCTTCACAGCACGTTGATAGCGGACCTCAATCTGCTTCACCTGATCATCAATGAGCAAAAGCTGGTCACATGCTCGGGTGAACTTCTTGTACTGAAGTTCGATTTCATCACGTAGCATTCTGGGTGTCATATCTGTTCCTTCATAGTGCTTCTCATTCACGTCACTCTCACCATGGTGATGCTGTCCAGCAGCGGCAACGGCACCAACAGGAACATCATTTGAAGCAGCACTAGTAGCCATGGTAACTTATTAGTTGTTGTCTTGCTGATTGAACAAAGTAAACTGAATTGTTGTAGAATTCACTGTGTCTTTATAGCAGAATGCTGGAGCAGCTTAGCAATGTGGTTTCTCTTAGAAGCCAAATTGTAGAATGACTTCAGAGATCCCCTGATTGGGTTATATATTAGATAGTTGGCTTCCTGTGTGTCAATATTGTCACTAATGTATATGGCATGTTTTGATAAACTGCCACCTGGCAGACTAATTAGCATACCTGACTCTGGTTAATCTCTTTAATCTCCACATGACATGTACAAACTGTACAGGTAAACAAACAAGATCCAAACTCAGGTAAGTCAATAAATAAACAAACAAATGTTTCAAACTGTGAAATACAAACATAGGGAAGTTTTTGTTTTTAGGGAAAGGTGTTGATGTTTGGGATCAAGTGTAATCAAATGCAAACAATGGGATTAAAGAGCGCAGTTCCTGAATGAGATTCATATCTTTAAAGCAGCATAAACTTAGATAACCATCTAAATCAAATTAACAATATTAATGAAATTCAAGTTCAAATTAGAATCTAAATTCATCCAGGATGTCTATCATTTGATCATTCTGTGATCATCACACCATTCTATTTTCAAACAATCAAAAAGATGATCTCTGATGATGCCAGCTGATTATTTGAGCAATTTTTATAAAAAATAAGATTAAGATAAATGATGCATATCATAAATCATATTTTGCCAAATGTTTTATAAATAATCTTTGAAAAAATTATCTATTTTTAAATCAAAATATATTTTCAGTCGGTGATGATATCTTGATTGCAATTAGCCTTTCGTCATATGTCTATCATTTGAAAATGAAAAGATCATACAAAGAGATTATCTGACATGTGTATGACATGATGAATTAGAATACTGCCATGTAGTGGCATCTGCCAATATGTGCATCAATAATCTGACAGTTATATAATCTGCAAAATGGGCATGGAATTATCAGTGGTCATGTCTTGAGAATCATATCAAGAAAACACAAGGAAAAGAGAGGAATTAGAAAAAGAAGAGAGGAATTGGAAAACCAGGTGGGTGAAATGTCAACTCTTTTGTTCTATTCAAATAAAAAAGCCTTTGATTTTTATCTTCAAAGACCAAAGCGAAATGAATGAAATCATTATAAACCAGAGGCATATATTATTTCTATGCCTTTTGATAAACCATATCATCACTTTTCATTCTTGAGATCATGCTTCAAAAACATATCACATTATGTCAAAATTGTTCAAATGTCATCACTTGGATTATTTGGGAGGGAATATTTTGATTGCTTTTATAGTCACACTCCTTATTAGGCTTTGTCTACTTATATAATCATACCACTGCAGGTAATGCCTTCCCAAATTGCTCATGGTCAAATGATCCCTTTAATTGATTTGATTGGTTCCTTCAATTTTTGGGTTGGAGGAAATGCTCTCTGCAGTCTTCTGCTACTGTCTATTCTAAGGGATATTACAGACTGTCGATCCCACAATCTTTGGAAAGTTGATAAGAATATTTTTCATTATTACAATATTGAAAGATGGCAGCAAATAAAAAGTATATGTATCATAAAGCCAATGATTTTAAGGCAGTTCTGCATGGTAAGAATTTTTATGTAATTTTCCTGATTATAATTATAAATAGTTAGTAAATGGGTAATCTTTTCAAGTTTTTATGTGGATATTTACATGTTCTAGAATGAAACTTCCATGAATGTTTTTCCATATTCTTTGGATAAGTACAAAATTACCTTAAAGGTTGAACAATATTAGTGCAGAGATGTGGCCAACGATTTTGGACCTAGTGTCAAAATATATTAAAGTTTGGATATTTCATCAAGGCTATAACATCTATTTTCATTATTTATAGAGAAACCCCCTGAATGAACGTTATTTCAGCTGAAATTCCTGCATTTAAAATCTTGGAATATAGCATATCTTAAAAATCTATAAATGGGACTCCTCTTATAGAAACTTTAAACTTAATTTACACTTCTAAATGGTGAATAGATAGGCATGTCCTTACATTTTAAGAAAATAGGTCTGACAAAGAAGATGTTAAGCCAAATGTTGCCCTGATAGCTCAGAAAATGTGAAATTTTTCAATTTTTCTCTCTACAGGCCTTGTTGCCACTTTAAGGATGAATGGAAACAGCAAAACATCAAATCTATTAAACAACAGAGGTGTCAAGGAAAAAAAATTGGAATGATTCGGTTAAGAACATGAGGTAGTCTTTCTTGGCTAGAAGCCAAGTGAAGTGAAAAGGTAAGATTTTCTTGTTTTGGAACTGAACAGAAACATTGTACATTGTATATTTGTTCTGACACAAGAGCCTTCAATGAATCGAGATATCAGCTATCCGTGACAACTATCCTAAAAAAATGACAATTCTTTCAAATAGTGAGGAAGGGGTGGGGGCTACTACCCTACAAGAATTGTCAAAACCTTACTGTGGTATTGATATAAATCTAAAAAATAAACTTACCCATAATGGAATCATGGCAGGAAAATTAAATGGTGTGATGCCAGCAGTGACACCTAGTGGGGTTCTGTAAGAGACGAGATCCATATCTTTTGCGATACCTTGTAAACTTTCCCCTAACTGGAGGGATGTGATACTGCAGCAATGCTCAACTACCTCTGTAAAAACAAATTTATATCATTAACACATTGTATGAGATTTTCATTTTTATTTCTGTTGAGTATGGAACATGAAAGGCACTGAATTTAACATGAAATCTTTAATAAATACTTTAATAATGATTAACCAAGTGGCTACTTATGTAGGTAAATATGTTCTAAGATTAAGGAAAGCTACCATTACAAAAATGCCTCTGATTCAATTTCAAATATTTTGGGGTATAGTTACATTTGATGACAACCTGACTTTACTTACGGAGGCCTCTCATGACGTCACCCTCTGCATCCACCAATGTCTTGCCCTGTTCCTCTGTTATATTAGCTGCAAGCTTTTTCTGAAAAATATGCATATCATAGCTTCATCCAAAAAATATTGAAGGATCACCAGATGCAAGCTTTTTTCTGAAAAATATGCATAATACTGTAGCTTCATCCAAAGAATATTAAAGGATCATCAGATAAACCTAAATTCATATAAATCAATTCTGCTATCCAGAGGATAGTCTTGCTTCAAGACCCTGGACTAAAAATATATGGATAAAGATTTCATTGTGTGAAGTTATTTTGGCATACAGTTATTGAAAATTGCGATCGTTATAATCGGAGATGATGAGGTGTTTTTTACAGCAATTTATTTTAGGTCTTTAGTGAATCATGCTTTTATGATTTTGTAATTTTATTTATGTGCTCACCTCATTTTAGTGTTATTCTGGGTAAGAATCAATTGTTGTATTCATTCTTATAGAGGCTAAAATTGTTATTTGTTTCTTTATTAACTTAAAGTACTACAGTGTACATACTATATCTCTTTTGATGATGTTCTGAAGGTTGAACATAAGACCCTGACGGGTGAGGGGGGTGGTCTTGGACCATGTCTTGTAGGCTTCCTTAGCCCCTGCCACTGCTGCCTCCATCTCATCCTGGGTGGATACAGGTACACGTGTGACCAACTCATTGGTTGCCTGGAGGAATATGAGCAAAGCTTAAACAACAATTTACGATTCAAAATTTCAATCTGGGCTTTGTGGCTTTAGTTCAATTACTAGGATACAGCAAACAATATCCAGGGGTCAAGATTAGATAAAATGAAAAAATTGATGCTATGCTCCTATGAAAAATCCTGGGTAGAGCATTTGATACCATGCAGTGTATGTCGATATCATGATATGTACTTACTGGGTTCGGCAGGTCAATCCATTTGTCTGTCTTGGATTCTACAAACTCGCCATTGATGTACAGCTTGGTGGTTGGCTGGAAAATACAAGTGCAAATCATATAGAGTGAACAATAAAATATACAATTATAGTAATATTTAAGTAAAATAGACCATATAATTCTTCAATATGCAAAATACTTTCTGTATTTATAATTCAGAAATCTTTTTATTCAAAACATCCATGTTGGGTTAACTTCCCTAAAATTTAGATGTTCATCAGAATAATGTTAAGAGCTTGGGATAAAATTAAAGCTAAGAAATGCAATACAAATGAATGAACTTAACATTTGCAGGGGAGGGGGGGGGAAATTAGGAGCCATTTTTCAAACTCTGGGCTTAATTTTTGAAAATTAGGGCATATTTGTCAAAAAGTTAGGCCCATTGTTACCTCTGATCCACCAGTGATATAAAACATAGTTACATTGCAAGAATCAAATTGAATGATCATAGATGAAGAGTGTACAGTATATGTATAAGTGGCTCAAATATTTATCTGCTGTACAATATATATTACAGTGTACATGTATTACTTTAAATGTAATTACTGCATTACCCCTATTATCTATACATTAAATTATAAATGCACTTTATTTCCTGTACTGTTTTTGATTGGTATTCTGATGGTTAAATAATCAAATACTTAATTGAATACAAAACATGTACATGTCTTCCAGTTTGACAGATTTTTGTTGACTCAGTAGCTTCTATATACTTTCAAAGTCTCTCTCAAGGCTTACTTTAATATTTTATGTTTTTTATTTTACTTCTTTGAGGATATTGATACATTTTATGAAAAAAGTTTAAATTGCTTCATTATTAAGCATTTTGACAAAAACCATTGTAACAGAGGATTTATGCCTGTGCAACACCATGAAACTTTTCATTATGAAAATTTTCATCAAAATGCTTCGTAACAAAGCGATTAAAACCCAGGTAACAGGAGGTACCAGGTACTATTAAAGGGATAATAACCTCAAGTAAAAACTATGATTCATAAGAATAATAAGTCTATAATCAAAAACATGACCCGGGTATGAGCGACGATCTTCTAATGCATCGGCAGATATATTGGAATTAATTTTGAGGTATTGGATCTTCACCTGGATTATGGAGGTCGCCATAACCTACCTATGAATATTCATGAGCGGCGTCACTGCGACTCGACAAATTCCAGCATTTTGATTGGCCCGAAAAATGCGCATGCGCAATTGTAGCGGGGCGGCCACATTGAAAAATATTACGAACTTCTTAACAAGAAAATGGAGCAATTTGAAGATTTTGACGATGTATTTGGCATATTGACATACTATAATATGATATCACCTGTTCGAGAAAAACATGACCATGTTCACATCAATACTTACAATTCATAGAATTAACTCCCAAAGTGCCAATCAAAACCAAAAACTGACCAACTCGTGAACGTTGGTTACCGACATGACAGGAAAATGCGTTAATTTTATGTTGACAATCAATTATCTCTCGATCGTTTTGCTTGAAGATTAAACATATTCGGATCTTTTATTTAATAAAATGATGAATGGCAGATATTAATTGGATTTTTGACACTCTGTTATAAATATAAGGCAGAACTGATAATGTATTCCCCGTCATGAATGATCGCGATCGATGACGCAAGGTTCGTCATTTCGATCACCATGGAGGTGTATTTCTGTTGTATTTACAGTAGACAACAAACAATTTAAAGGCTCGTAGACCTAGTATGTTATATTCATTTCACAAATATGGTATTAAGTTATAAAGCTATTAAAGACATACGATACGATACGATACAATTCAAAAAGTTTTTTCAAAATGGCGTCGACCTAACCGGCACATGGCCTGGTTCAGTTCTCTTTTTGGGACCGGATTGCTCGCCTTGAATCCGTTTTCTTTGGTTTCTTGTGAGAGAATATGTATGGCATGGCAACTGCCCGAACGACAGTGAGATTCCATTGTCGATAACGACAGTGTTATTTCTGTTGCCGATAGCAAACTGTCGTGGGTAAACCCGGAAGTAAAATTGGGTTCAATCTACGCCGTTTGAGGAGAAAATCAGCTAAAACAACTTGCCCCGCGTGTCTAGAACCATCATCACTGTAGCGTCTATATAACCAATACTTGAAATAACCAATATTTGAAATATCCTGACATCGAACTAATAAACCACTCTAACTTCAGTTGTTATTCATTTTTATTCACCAATCTATTTTGAAGAGCTTTTGAAGAGCGATTTCAGCATTTGAGGCAATCTGCGCCAGTTCCTCTTGATTCGGAATCGAGTTCATGCGCATTAGAATGAATAATTTGATTGGCTTAATTCCAAAAACACATGCGCACTTGTAAATTATTTCAAACTGCTAGGCATGCGTGAAGAGTTGAAGCAACAACGAAACTGCTGCAGATTACCCTACTTATTTGATGGCGGAATTGGAAAATTCTTTATTCAAAATGTTTTCCCGTATTGGGGAGAAAAAACACAACCCCAGGATAGATATAGGACGACAAACAAGACAATAATAAGTAGGAATCTTTGATTGTTAAAAGCCGTGCATGAAACTTTTCAGAAACTATAGTAAGTGACACTGTTTTAAATGTGTTCTATTCCCCGGGGATTCGGTCCACGACAACGACAGCTGGTTTGAACTGTCGACAGATTTTAATTCTACCGTCACCAGCCGACTGTCGTACTGTCGTTCAGGCATTTCTTTTAAAGTCCTTATCCCAAGTCTAGCTCTATCAGTGGAAATATTTGAACAATTTACCGCACAACACATAGGCATTTTCCTTTGTTGTGAATGCTTTCAAGATGGCGGCTCAGGTCGCAGAAACGTCACACTTCCGGTCTACATCCGGGTCTTTGAGGGAAATATGGCGAGCCCCGTCCAACAGACAACTGGGTCACTGGGTCAATTTATAATTTTTATTTTCAATATTATACAAAAACTAACACATAACAAGATTTTCAACTTATTGCATTTTATTCAGTAGTATTGTAACTACATATAATGATGATTAGAATACCTGACATTATTTCCGCTTTAAGGGTTTGTTGGTACAGGTATTAAACATTTGTACATTTACTTTATTATTCATGTCATATGTATGATAATTTTGAATAACAATGAAGCCATATAAAAAAATAAAATGTGGTTATACCTATTTTATTTCACTCCCGTTATTTAAACAACTTGAGTGTATGCAAAGAGTGTGGAATTCTCATCTTTTTAATTCAAAGGATAGGTATCGATATGGTGAACTGAATTTAACAATGTTTTCTCTTAAACCAATTATTGAAAACATTCTGTAAAAATGTAATGTTGACTGATTGACAACAATTTAATGCGAAAATTATTTAGAAATATTTTATATAACTGTTTTTGTTAACATTTTTTGTTTTTTAGCGCAATTGTTTTTGTTCCTTTCTACCAATTCTTGAGAATGAAATAAAATGTCTTTCCGAACCTTGTTGGAACAAAGTAGCATATACAACATTTTCTAAGACCTCTCAATATTATAGTTATACAAAGGAAATTTTGGTTGATTTAATTAAAAAAAAATTAAGACAAAACTCCCAAAATAGATAAAAATAAGATAAACCTTTTATTTCATTAACAAGATACTGTTTTAAAATCAACCAAACTTTCCTTTGTACTATTATAATATTGAGAGACCTAAACACGTTGTGTTTATGTCGTTTTGTTCCAATGAGGTTCTGATAGATGTTTCATTTCATTCCGAACATGTGATTCCAAGAACAAAATAAGTGTCTGATGTGTTTTCTAAAACAATATAGAGAAAAGTATATATATATTTTTCAGAATTTATTGTTACCATTAAATTGACGATATGTAGAATTTTCGGAATGTTTTGATGACTGGTTTAAGAGAAACGTGTGTTCAAAAAGTTCACCATATCGATACCACTCCTTTAACAGAAAGAGAAATGTTGCATGTATATGCAAAGAGACTTTGCCAAAGATTAACATGATTAATGTAAGAAAACTTACCACTGATGCTGAAGCATAGAACCTCTGGCTCTCCCGCCCTACCACACGAGTAAGCTGAAAAAACAACAAGATGCACGGTAAAATTATTTGTAAGGGCATAAATTGATCCCCAGGAATATCTATCGCTTGTTTTTGTTAATGAAATGTTTATTCAACATAAAATGTTTCACAGGCAGAATAGATGAGAATTACTCGAGTCTCTATCTTACAGCTAGATGCGACTTCTTTGATTTCATATGTACTCTAGAAGTGTCATGCATACCTAGATGTCCTATTTAATCATTTTTTTAAATATTTGTGAGAACATTTATTATACTGAGCTCATCCCGTTTATTGTCTGAATTTAGATATTTCAAAATTTCTTTTTGGAATGAGCCTCAAACTCAACACCATCTATACAGCTCACTCAGCAGAAAAATGGAGGCCATTTCGAAATGAAATCTCGCTTAGCTATATAACAATCATGCATAAAAGTATGTTTCATATAATCATGCCGTAACAAGTGTGCGTTTATCACCATGATTTACAAATATTGAAAACCACCGTTGCTGAAACTTTCACCAAAAGCTGGAATATAGAGAAGGTTTTGGACCTAAGTAAGATGAGAATACAGCCCCTAAAACTGAAATAACAACATGATTGCTCTGAACATAACGCGAGGACACGATTTAGACATCCATACTGATATAAACGGGCACCATCATTTTTTCACGGCAAGTTTCAGATAACAGGACTAATAGTGGATCGCTATTGTAGTATTTATTGTACTTGTGTACATGCATAATATTTGTCCTCAGCTGTCATTTGACCTCAGCATTGATGCATTATTTTCAATGTTTCATTTTACAAGTTGTTTAGGGGTTGTCATAAATGGAGTTTCAACATGAGGTGCTTTATACATAGTAGAAGAGCTTTGTAAAGTAACAAGTGTGAAATCACCAGATATTCAAAGATATTAGCAATTCTTACCTGTTTTGCAACCAAAAATCTCATTCTTCTTTTTCTGAGTTATAAAACGGGATCTCGTACACAGATCATGTGATCGCTAAGGACAAACTATGATTGTTATCAATAATATATATCACATACACTCAAAATATTCCAATGCATTTAATGATTTAATATATGATACTTTAGAGGTGTTTTACCTTTTCTAATTGATATTTAAGAGAGATGTAAAGAGATTTTAACTTGACTTTATAGCGAGATTTTACGAGAGCTGTCCAAGATGGCGTCACCGACAAGTGCGGGTTATTCAATATTTTGTTTAGTTTTTAATAATTTGCCTGTTGTTAGGATCTATTATAATATATTTTCATTTATATTGAATATCTTTCCATAATTATACATTTATCTAATGATCTTTCAATAATAGATCTGTATATTTGCGCCCATATTTTTGTAAACATTGCCAATTTCGAAAATAAATTTCAAATTTCTTGGCTAAAATAGAGGGGGATTAACCCCAGAGTTCAAAGATGACATACGCTTATAATGTAAACCTGTATTGAGATGACATACACCTCTGATTGGTCCCAATTGATAAACAAAAATGGCGGATTCAAAATTTTCTAATAACGCTTCGAATAATATTATGTTGATTCCTGGCGTATTAACCACCAATATCATACATGTAGCTTGGTTTTTCGCATCAAGATAAAGAAATATGTAAGGAATATGTTTACATCGATTAAAACATCACGACGACGCGCTATGTTCGAAAATGAAATGGAGAGAATTTGCGCAAATGAAGGTGGTACGCAAGAGACGTATTATGTCAGTCATCGTTATCGCATCCTACGACCCCTTTAGATTGTGGTCGTACGCGCCAATTATTGGTGAGTCAATGTTTTTAGAAAGTTGGAGAAAATACTACGTATTGCACACCTAAATGACCTACCTCGATACATTCCTTAGTATTTTAGAATTCTTTTTATGTAGTTGAATCGCCAATTGTATGGGGTTATCGGCAGAACGAAGAGATTTTAGTTTTTACATCGGAAATATATCAGTAATTTTCAAAATGTCAGAAGGGGAATTCCCCAGGGATTTCCCTTATGCCGGGAACTGAATGGAGGAATTTGACGGTTGAAATAAGTTAAATATTACACGCAAATATTGCTATCAAAAACGAAAATTTCTTTGTTCTGGCGATAAACCCACACAATTGTGGATTCAACTACACGGAAAGAATGCTAAAATACCAAGGAATCTATTGAAATAGGTATCTTAAGTGTAAGAAGCGTAGAAAATTCTCCCATGTTGTAATCGTACAGGCAAAAGAATAAGACGTTCGCAAGACTAGAACGTAGAGATAGTCTTGGAACGAGATAAAGTCATCGCTAAAGCTCTGGGGCTTTCCCTCCTCTTCTAAAATACTATAGCCTGATAATCAGATGAAGGAGGGTGTGGTTTTAGAAGCATGGACTCAGAATTGACGTGTCTGTCATATAACTCGCAAATTGTGAGAGATTAAATCTTGACTCTGTAATGTGTTATATGTTTTACAGACGTCATCCATTGAATGCCCGTTTTTCGCTAAAAAACAATCTAAAATAAACTTGCGATTCAAACTTTGATTATAGTATTCCTGGGCCTATGGCATCTTTTTGCATCTTTATCACCCTACATGTACTTGTAATGTACCCTATAACTCCGCACTGAGTATTTCTGCATGCTCAAGCTGCATAGGCTGTTTATCTCATTCAGGATTTTTATTCTGATGATATACTGTAATATGCTAATTTTCAGATTTAGAAAACTCATTACTTAGCTTCGAGCGACTTGACAGAGCCTCTCCAGACCTATGGCCTGAACAAAGTAAGATATTTTGAGTGACAAATATATTTGAATTAAAGATGTGTTTCATATAGATTGAAATAAAACTAAACTACATGGAGGTTAGCTAAACCAAAATCTCATGTGTTATATTATGTTAACAAATTTTATGTTAGTCTCAGATGCTACAGAATCACAATTTTTTTGTTTCCAGTTCCTGGTGTCTCAGACTTTGCATCTGTAAGAAGTGTAAGTATCAAATCAACATACTTCTTTTGGTTTTACATCTAGCTCTTCTCAGTATTTTTTCTTGAGTACATGTACATATGTAAGTGGAATATTAAAATTTCACGGTTGTGTCATCAGTTGAAAAATTTTCATTATTTATTATGTCACAACCACAAGTGGTATTTTTATAGTCTCCAACTATTTTGTGGATAGTGTTCACCAGTTGGTGTTTAGAGTTTGGTGTTTGTGACAAATGGAAGGTGATGAAATTTTGTACATTAATGCCTTGTCTACTTATCTTGTGTTATCGGGTGCAAATGGGGTTTCAGGTGGGTGAAATTATTTTTTTCAAAAGTTCAAGTGGGTGCAGCATCCATTTGCTTTAATTCTGGTGAAATTTTTGTCATGTTACTTTAGTTTTATTCTAAGTGTAATTTTTAAGATTCTAAAGAATTTTTAATGAAATAGAAATTGCGGGAAAAAAGCAATTTAAAAATTTAAAAACCGCAGTAGAAACAATAATGATATATTAATTGTTGGAAACATATATTGCATTCTGGGAGCCAATCCTCCTTGAGACGATACGTATCAAATATTATTTCTATTGCCCTTTAGCCTATGAAGATTACTGATGGTTATGTTTTAAATGGATACCTTATATTTACTTGCAGCCCCTAAGTGGCCCAAAGTGGCTCTCATCAAATATAGACAAGGAAGATATTGACTATGATATGCTGCAAGGTAGGTACTGGAATATCGGAGTCAATTTGCACTTTAGTTTTGGGCCCTCTTTGATTTTGTCTTAAACAAAATAAGGTCCTTGGCAATATCAATTATTTCCTGAATTTCTGTTGCAGTGTAAAGTGAACAGGTTCTATAAGTAATCTTTATTCACTATATGAGTACTGCTATGGCCCAGTGATAGTTCTTACAATAGAAAAACAGAATTTTAGTGTTCAGATTGAATTGTTGCATTCAACTGAAACCAAACAAAATCTCAAGCAATATTAGAAAAAATTAAATAAAACATGGTTTGATAATATTAAAAATTTCTTCAATTTTTGTTAATTTTTATTTCATTTAGAACTTGGAAGTCTGACCACACAACAGCTTATGGAGAAGGTTCGGGGTCTGCAAAATTTGGCCTACCAGCTTGGCTTGGATGAGGGTGAGTGTTCGGACCCTTCCAGGTTCCACTATTTTATGGTCTCCAGTTTTTGTGACGGCGATCGGCGGATGGCGGTTGGTGATCGACAACAAAGTCTTACAACTTCCAATAACTAAACAAACACTTTTCAGACTTACTTCAATTTTTTCAAATTCATTTTCACGTTTTCTGAAGTTCAAATCTGACTTAAGATTTAAGAGTTGACCTTCAATGACCTTCTCAAGGTCAAAAATAGGTGAAAAGAGGTCAAAAATTGTTCTTTCAACTTGCTTCAAATTGACTAATTTCTTTTTCAAAATCATCTACAAGTTCTCAGAAGTTCAAATCTGACTATAGATTTGAGATTTCACCTTCAATGACCTTCTTAAGGTCAAAAAGGTCTTTTTTCAACTTGCTTCAAATTGACTTACAAGTTCTCAAAAGTTAAAATCTGACTATAGATTTGAGGTGTTGACCTTTAATGTGCTTCTCAAGGTCAAAAAGATTCATAATATTGTGAGCAACTTGGTGGTGACATTTTGTCAAGTTAAGTCCTTTTTTGCCAAGCATGAATCAGATTCTACAAAAAATTCACTTCCAAATAAGGATTGATGTTCATCATTCAATGTCAACTTTAACAATTAAAAATATATATACTTTAGTTGTTCTGTCAAATGCAATGAAATATGGAAGCCTATACTAGTATTATATAAGTATTTCATGGCATGTACAGTGCATCTTTCATGTGCCAACTTCTGATCTTATGCTGTTTCTGCTTTCAGCCAGGGAAATGACAAGAGGGAAATTTCTGAACATTCTGGACAAAAATCATACAAAGAGGTGATACAGCAGAAATAAGATACAGGGACATAGACTTATATACCCAATATATTTATTTAAGTACTCTACATCTGTGGAAGAATTGTCAACTCATATCTAGTTTTTCTGTGTCGAAAAATGCATTCTGTTTTTCAAGGCCAGAAAATGTATGTGTGAAAGGTGAAGATTTTCTATACTGTAACAACTGAAAAATCTCAAGATTCATTGTTTAAGCTGTGTATAGAAATTCAAATTCAGATTAATTAAATTATTTAACATTGATTGTAAAATGTATGTCTGGGATCACAGTGTAGTACATGTGCTTTGAAGTAACCTTCATTCTTATCTAGTACAAAGTAATTGTAGTCACATACGGAAAAATCTGTTATGGAATGTATATATTGTAACTTCTTACATAGGAGTTTTAGATAAATAAATAAATGTGAATAATCCATCAATCAAGTTTTTTTTTTATTTAATTATAGTTTGGGGATGCTTTAAAAAAAAAAAAAATTCTCTCGTGTAAGTTCATCCATTTTGTTATAAAGACATAAAGTCTTTATAACCAGGTGAGAACTACTGAAGATGTCAAACACTAGACCCAAAATACACTGTCGCCAGTTCTTGTTAGTGAGGACTCAATGAAAAAATGAAGTTTTCATCTTAGGGGGGCGTTCAAGTTGAGGAATTACAGTAGCTAGAGGTGATCAGTTTATGCATTATTTATTTCATTCAAAAATATTCCTGAGATATGCTATAAGGCATAAAACATATTTTACATTCACAAAAATATGCGTTTATAATTTGAATAGGTGTTCATAATATTATACAATCTAAAATCAACCAGTTACCAGCTGGTGATGGCAACATAGAGCTCAAACAAGATGAAACATTTAACAGGAAGTTGTACTCTTTTTCCTAAGTTAAACTTTGCATGAAAAAATCAGATCCTAGAGTATGCTTTTGTACAGTACATTATATTTGATACATACATCATGCAAATATTTATATGTAAAATGTGAGGACTGCTGCAATATCAATAAAATTTTGCCTGCCCCATCACCACGCGGTACTAACTTCGACCGTTAATTTGAATTTTTGACCTACCGGATGTTTCATTCAAAGCATAACAAAAATTCCTTTCTGTTGGTACATTATTCTCTTAAACAGAGTCCCTACTTCCAGCGGCATTTTGGTCCCCAGCTGTAGGAAGGCCTTCTAACAGCTGGGGACCAAAACGCTGCTAGAACGAGGGACTCTTTACAATAAAGTAATGCACCGACAGAAAGGCAATTTTATTTTGCTTTTAATGGTATAAGTTTGAAGAAAAACGGTGCAGTATGAGACTCACAATCTTTGATTTTCGAGCATCTGGTAGGTCAAAAATTCAAAGTAACGGTCGAAGTTAGTACCGCGTGATCACATGTCATCATAGTCCATAGTCTCTTTCTAAATTACACTGTACAAACTTATATATTTCAACAGATTTTGGCAACATTCTCCATGTGGGAATTGTGATTGGGGTCATTCACAACTCATACAAGTTCCACCACTCACTCTTTGTGAGTAACAACCCCCTTATATCAGTATATATATCTACAATATTCTACAAGCACCCTAATTTTTGTCATTTTTATATCTCAGTTGACAATATTTGATATTCAATTTAAACACATATCTGGAAAGCAAGTTCAGTGAAAAATCTAATATAAATATTGATATTTTATTTGCAGAAATATCGATCATTTTTGGTACTCAAAATTAAAATGTTTTGTGAAGAGCTATACCCCTAATCAATAATGCAATTTTAAATAGAAATTGGCAACTTCATGGAGTAGCAAATCCAAATGAACAAAATACTCATGAATCTAATATTCCTATCTACAGATCTACTCTACCATTGATTTGAAGACAACAAAAGACAGACATTGGAGATATATCAAAATTTCAATCAATTTAAGCATTTGGTGGCCATTCAGAAGTTTCAAAGGTACAATTCATGAAGGCAATACAGTATTTTAGATCGATTGTAGTATATTTATGTAACCATACTTCGACGACTCTCTAAATTGAGGGCCGAAGCAGAAAAATGATACAATAATTGCAATCAACTTGCTTTTCATTTGAGTATAATAAATATATACATGTACTTCACAAATATACCACAATTACTTTGGTTGAAAACTTTATTTTTTGTGAAAATTACCACAATATTAAAGAGGCGGCTATCTTGAACATTGTGTAAACATTTTCACCAATATGCTTCTCTCCACCAAGTATGAAGAAAATATATCTACTAGCTTCAATCTATCCCTACTGAACTTCGTTCATTGGAATAATTATGAAATAAAAAATTACACCGCTCTTGTTAAAGAAGATTAATAATTTCTTCCTCAGTGTCAGTTTTGTAGTGACCAACTTTGTCAATATCCTTCTGTGGGTTTTTGTCATATTCACCAGCATCACTGAATAATTTTTTCTGCTTTAAATGTTTAGATCTCTGTAGTTTGTGTCCCCTATACATGGATGTAATGTTTTTCTGGGACATATTTAAGAATTTCATTTGTTTCTTTGATTCTTCCATCCCAATAGTTTTAGCTTTCCTTGCACTAGAAGGCCTTTTTAAAGGTATTTCACTTGATTTTAGAGGTGATATGAAATTAATGGAGTCATTTCTAGAGGCCCTTTTTAAATCTGGACTCTGATTATCATTCTTTTGTCTCTTGGAATTTATTTCAGTTCTGTGCTTCAATTTTCTTTTTATTATTTTTTCATTTGTCACTGAAAGAATGCTGTTTCTTTTTGGACCAATTTCAATGTTTTGCTTTACAATATTTGGAGATTTAACTTTTTCCTTTATATCAGTTGCACCTGGTGTTGTTTCCGATTCGTAGAATATGTTAGGTGTCGCAACCTCAAAACCATACTCTGCGTGCTTTACTTTGGCAATTGGGGATAAATCCATGAGATCATTTTCTGAATCAACCAAATCAAAAATATTTAAATCAACATTTTTGATATCAGTTTCAGTTTGAGGTTGAACATCAAACAGTTTTGACTGTCTACCAGGTTTAACAGTTTGTTTAGATGTAGTTGATGCAACCAACTTTAGGCTGTCTTGTATAGATTTTGGACTGACCTCTTTTTGTTGTATAGAGTCCAGCTCTGTGTTTGTAACTATTTTTGTTTGAAGATTCCTGCCATGTTTAATGATATCTCTAACTGGCGTGATGAGCTGAACAATTGTATCATTACTATCTTCACTGTCAATACTACCATCATTAATTTCATCATCATCCTCAAATTCAGACGCAATGGATTTTTGTACACCTGGTTTCATCTTAGGAATTCCAGGTACTTTGGACACTTCAGGAAGTCTAGGCACTTTAGATTGAGCAGCATTTTTTAGTGTAATAGCCTTCATATCATGATGGTCAACATGCACCTGTTTAGCTAATTTGAGTTCTGCTTTTAAGACTACATGTTTTCTATTCTGATCATGAACTGGGGTACTGTTACTTGCTCCCGAATCCTCAACTGGAAAGTGTTCAGATTTCATGAATTTGTGACTCGGAGATGGGCCTAAAACTAAACCCGATTCCTCCTCTTGGTAGGGTCCATCACAAGGTGAACTCCCATTAGAATCTGTCTGTTGGTATACAGGTTCAGGGCTAGAATAGAACTCGTTGAAGTCGCTATTGTCTGAAATTCCAAGTGGGTACTCATCTAGCTGAGAATGAAGTGTATCATCAACATATGAACTCTGGTCTCGATCAGTATCATCATTTTCTTCACTAGCATCATCATCCTGGTTCAGTTCCTTATCATCTCTCCCTTGTGTAGGTTTGCTTGACATTTCGCTTGATTCACCAATATTCTCATTTGGAAAAAGTATCACGGTATCAGATGGATGTGAAGTTTTAATCAGTTTTTCATATTGTTGGTCAATAATTTTGTCCATTCTTGACTTCTTTGGTTTTATATTATTGTCCTTGCTGGTCTCAATATCTGGAGGTTCAGTATGACCAGGTCTAACTTGAGAGGGAGCTATTTTAGGCTTCTGAGATATTGATTTTTCTGTTTTGAGATTTGTGTGATTATTTTCTTTTGCAGTTAAGTTTGACATTTCTTTATCAATCTTTGATTTGAGATCTTTGAGACTGAGTTGAGTATTTTTTACACTTGACACACTGTCCTGAGTAAGGGCAAGGGGTTGATTGCTCAACTGCTGTTCAGAAGGACGTTGTTTGGTCCTTTGCTGTTGACCAGAAGGTTGTTTCTTCCTTTGAAATTGAGCAGTAGACAGTTCTTTCACAGGATCAGCTGACCTAGGACATTTATCACTAGTAGTCATAGTCCTAGAAATTCTAGTCCTGTTATCAAAGCAGGAAGTTTCAGTTTTAATATTGCTATTATTCCTAGAGTCCATTATATTCGAGATCACATTTTTACTGTGACGCTGTATTTCTATCATTGCTGCATTGCTACTGCTGTTCAGTGTATCATTAGTGCTGTTTAGTGCATCATTAGTGCTGTTCAGTGCCGCATTAGTGCTGCTCAGTGCAGAATTAGTGCTGTTACTCTTAGTCTTGGTATAGACTGTTTGACCTGACAACATTTGTTCATCTTCTTCATTTGATATTGTGCTACTATTTACATTGCCTCCTGGTCCTGAGCCTGTAGTAGTTTCTTCATTACTATGCCTCCTGGGACCTTTATAGACACCAATCCTTCCTTTAGAGTGTCTTGTTTTGTTATGTCCTCTATCAAGGTTAGTGTCATATGTTACATTTTCAACTCTTTTATCGTCTCTCCTACAATTCTCCTCAACTAAATTAGGACTAAGATGTCCATCATTTTCACTGTTTAAGTTTTTTCTATTATTTCTGTTAGTTCTTTGATTTTGATTCCTTTCACTTTGAATTACTTGACCAGTTGCCTTTCTTCTCTCATTAGTCCACATTTTACTGTCAGTCCTTACATCTCCTATTTCCACATTGAATTCAGCATGTTCTCTAGACCTGCTAGACATGCCCTCACTATTTGTTGCATTACTACATTCACCATATGGCTTAAATGCACTCTGTCTTTCTATGTTTAAAGAACTTTGACTTTCCATTTTTGATAATTGAATAGCCTCAGAACCAAAATCTATAGTGTCAGTTCCGAAATGTAAATTGTTTGATGTCTTAAGTATTCCAGTCCTTGAGTCAGAAGTTCTTGGATCTCTGTGGTTTCTATATTCACTTGAATCCTCATTAAAATTGTAACTTTCTTGTCTATAACTTGATCTCAGTGCTGTATCTGGGTTGTTTGTTTCCTCTTCAGGTTGTGGGCTTGTTGTTTCTCTCTTGACAGGCATCACCTGGGCAACTGGCTTTAAAGGTTCTGGTCTGCTTCCTGTACCTGCAATACAATATGAGCAATGTACTCGAAGTCTAGGGATTGATTTTACCCTTCTGCATACAAAGCTAAGATCTTGACCAAACATGCCCTGGACCTTTCCATAAGGGGACAATGATCATATAGCTTTCCCTGAATTTAAGAATTTAAGACGTTCTCTAATTGTTTCTGTTATTAATGAAATATACAGTTATTGTAATAATTTGTCAAACACAGACTACAAAGCAACTGAAAAGCTGATACAATTAATATTCTTTAATATACTTTAAATTGGCGGATTGACCCTCATCGATCATATTTCTCACTGCACAGTTCATCCCATATGATGCATTTTTATCACTCCTGGTATCAGATTATTTGATCTAAACAAATGCATGAGAATTTACCATGTTTGAGAAGTTCCCTGGAGGTCCTGAACAGTTGCTTGTGGTTCTTGTCTATATAAGGACCATCCAGTGAAGCGTATGTTGTCGCACGCACTGCAATGTTATTGTACTTGTCCATCGACCCTGAATAAGAACATCATCCTGACATGTCAAGATTTTAGATTGAGAGCATAGTGAGATTGAAAGCTGCCAAACAAGTAATGCATCCAAGATGTTTAAAATTCTTTCACAGAATTTTGAGAACTATTTTTTCTTGGTGCCATATAATACAATATTTATATATATATACAATTATACAATATTTCTATATTAAATGAGAAGAGTTGTTTGCTACTGAAGATGGATGCACATATACTCAAGTAAATAATTTAACACCTGAATACAATCAGATTCATTGTACAACAGGCTAAGTATGAAAACTGAAATACATATTCCAAACTGTTCAAAAGGTTTTTGAGAGTAAAATTATGAGATAGGAATGTACCATCAATATTAGGCATGCTGTAGAGGAAAGCCATCTCTGGTACGAGGAATGGATGCTGGAATGCCTCCGCTGGCGTCATCCTCTCTCGGGGGTCATATCGCAAAAGTCTTGACAGGAAGTCTGCAAACTGGTAGTGGCCAGGTAGCGGAAGATGGACAGATCTCTCTGAACGTGAATTCCAGTTTTTGTAAATAATGCTAGAGTCTGATTTCTCTGTCATGGTTTTTTGCAAGGAGAGTGTGCCTAAAGAGAAAATGTTTAAAAGATAGAACTGGGTATATATAAAGCGTTTCATGTATATGATACATGAAATGGCTCAATGAAAGAGATACAAAGAGATAAAAATGAATAAACTTGACAACAGCAACTCCCTGTAGTAGATAATCCCAAAGAATAGAACATATATCATCAAGTCAAATAAAAATAATAACAATTTATAGATGGTCATGTAGATTTTTTTGATAAATCTACAAAATTATTGGAATATGAGATCACTGTTTGCAATCATGTAGCATCTGAACATACCATCAATCTGTTTAGATTTGGTGCAGAAATCTTCAAGTTCAGTGAAATATTTGCCTCTTTGATAAACATCAGTTGGTAATGGCCCCAAGATCTTGGTCATCTGAAACACAGGATATTCAAAGGTCTAATAGCGATAATTAATTCTAATCTTCATTACTCTTAAAGGCCCTGTATAACGTTTAAACAATTATAACTTTGCACGGGCCTTTGGTATGTGTGGTATGTAACACAATCGACAGATTTGGACACAGCCTATATAATAATTTCCTTGTTTTGGTCAAAATATCTCAATATTTTATCCCTTTGACAGAGTGCAAACAGACTTTTAACATGTAATTATTTTTCTAATAAGTTTTTATTTCAGGTTAGCAGCATTACAATTAAAGTAGATGCACAGTGCAATCAAACAAGATTGTACATAATAGTGATTTAAAAAGTTGTAGATTATTTCTGCCAAGAGCTGAAATACATAAAAATTTTGACTTGATAATTTCTACATTCTATGTAGATTCTTTGGAGTGTGTTATACAATTAAACAGGAACCTCCTAGATATTCTATCTTACCTCTTTAAGAATCCCTGGTTTATCCTTTCCATAAAACAATGGTCTTCCAAAGAATAGTTCTGCTAGTACACATCCAAGTGACCACAAATCAACCTCTGTACCAAATGGCATCCCATAGATAACCTGAAATCAAATCTAATCAGTAAGTTTTGTGTTACTGAGGACAATTTTAGTTCAGTTTTTTACATTTGGATGTGTGATTTATAATTATATATTTGAAACAAATAGCTGATTAAAGATCTACTTTATCTTACTCCATGTAAAACCATGGATTAGGACTTTACCTCAACATCTTTCAAAAACAAAGGACTTATCTTCCTCATTTTTATTTCATAGATTATACTATACAAGATCATGAATCTTGAATCTCCAAAGGAAAAATGGCACTGAAAGTCTAATTTGGAAGATATTACAATGTGGTGACACCTAAATAAGGCTGAAAACAAAGGATATCAAATTATCATACAAAAAATTGTACATACCTCGGGGGCTCTATATAGCAGGGTTTGCAGCTCATAATCCTCGTAATAAAGAGACACCTCGTTGTGGACATAGTGGATTGCATTGCCAAAATCAATCACCCGCAATGAAGACATGTCTCCCTCTGAAATACAGATAATGCAGATGAGTATTTCTGTAGCATGTAAGTGACCTTTTTTATTCAGTTACCCTTTATTCAATACAATTGACCTTTATGCAATGCCAATGACAATTTTTGACTAAGTTAAATACAATGCAAGTGACCTTTATCCTATGCAAGTGACCTTTGTACATTTGCAAGCAAAATGTGTACGAAGTAAATGACCATTTTTTACTCAGTTATAAACAACAATGCAAGTGACTTTTATGCAATGCAAGTGACCTTTGTACAAAGCAAGTGACCTTTACTCGAATACCAATGCAAGTTACCTTTTAACTAACGAATGACCTTTGTAGAATACAAGTGACCATTTTTTACTCAGTGACATTTTTACAATTTGAGTAACCTTTTAACTAACAAGTCATATTTGTTCAAAATATGATCTTCGTACAATACAGCTGTATTACATTTTACTTATATTACCATATGAAAGTAATATTTTACATGATTAACTACTGAATATCAATCATGTATGATAAATACAAAACAGAAATAAAAATATAACTAATGAAAACATGATCGTACTTTACAAAACCCCAGGGTCTTGACCTTGGCAAATGAAATGTTCTGGAAAATATGACCTTGGCAATCATAGAATCCCAGGGACTTGTAACCTTCAACACTATTTATTGACACTACAGAGTTTGCCAAGAGATATCGTAAAAATAAAAAAACTTGTACGTTTGAAAAGCAGCTTTCAAATGAACAAACTTAATTCAAAAAGATCAAAATTATTCCACCCATTGATCACAATGTAAGGAAATTTTACATGTAGGGATATTATATATGTGCCAGACCCATCAAGTAGAAAGATATATGTATTTGTAATATGAATAATAGAGTTGCTCACTTCAGGATGAACTCTAATTGCTCATAATTGTGTACACTATTTGAGATACTAAATTAATAATCCAAACAATCGAAATTAACATCACTATGAACCCAGAAGGCAAACAAATGTGTAAATAATTTTCGAGCCAAAATAAATATTGTGATTCTAATAAAAAATATTGTGCTTATCACTGACGTTACCAAGAGGGGGGTGTTGAGTGTAAATGATCCCCCATCTTTAAGCCACTCGATATATTTTTGAGGAAATGTCCATAAAATTGAATCTAAAATGTTTTTTTTGAATGTCATCTGTCTGGGATTGAACCAGATAAGTTAAATTAGACTTGTTTGTGACTTGGAAGTCAAATATGACATTTCTCAGAAACCCCCATGCTGCACCAAACAGAATCTTTATCTACATGTACATACATATTTGGAGGGCGTGCCCCTGGATCACCCCCTATAATTATGGGGTATAACCCTGAAACCTCACTGTACAATTTTCTTAGAAACCCTTCAAAATTGATCAAGTAAATGTTTCTTCTTCACATAAATTTCTGTCTGGGATATATTGACAAAATATATAGGCTATAGACTTCACAAAAATCCATGTGTCTTCAATTAATTGTTTTGAAGTGCAAACACTGAAACCAACCTACTTGCATGACACATGTTTGGGAGGAAAATTGAGAAAACTGCACCCCCTTTACAAATATTGTCTGACGTGTTTGCTAATTAGTCTGTCGGGTCTTTGTCTCATAAACCAACAAACTCCTACACTTTATGGCAAAAATCCCATTTAGTTGTTTAAACCAATACTTCTATTGTTTAAAGAAATTAATAGTTCCAAAAATTATTGTGCGCTTGTTTTTTAATCATCCAGGCTATTAATGCCTTGATAAAACAGCTCCACCTACAGCAAATTATATCAAAAGTGTCATTTCCAATTGCCTGCTATATTCTATTAATCCAGGGTATGTCTAATGCTGTTTCCTTAATTGACAGTTTGATTGTCTCACACCGACCTCCTTACAAGCCATCTTAAAAGTTTTGCTCAAAATTCTACAAGTAATCAATTTTCATTTAACTGACTACCTTTGTCAGCCAAACAGATCAACCAATCAAACAAAAATATGAGATGGTATCTTAAATTGTAATTTTTAATTTGACTTTTACTTTGAAACATATTAAATCAGTAAGAAGCAAATTGAAATACATGTACATGTATACATTCTGAGCTTATTCCCTAAATTCCCTGAAATAAAGCAACCAAAAAGTTATGGATTCGTACGATATTTTCTTGGGATTAAATACCACTTAAAAATCATTATAAACTCTACTTCTACATGCTGATGTTTACAAACCAAATACAGTGCATTCGAGATGACTCATAAGATTCAATGTTACCTTTGGCTAGTAGGATATTTTCAGGTTTCAAATCTGCGTGAATGACATTCTGGCGCTGAAGAAAGCCAAGCACCGTCAAAAGTCGGATGGCAACTTGTCGTATCTTTGTTAATTTCTGCAAACATAAATGTATACATGTTCTATTGAAGCAACTCAGGTCAGAATTCAAAAATATGTGTATACCAGGGGTGAAACATACAAGATTTATTAATATTGAATACAAGATCCATAGAAGCAGCTCCCGTGATTTCCTTTACAGTAATTGGAGTATATTGGTCTAAGTTAGAGGTTCAGCTCTTTTAAAAGGCAAATGGCTTAATACAATGTACATAACATGATATATAGGAAAAATAAAGCTTATACTGTATAAACAGTAGAAAATATGAGATAGAATCATATAAAAAGCTTTACCAACATTTTACCAATACTTATTGAACAACCTGCATAATTATTACAGGTATACTGATGGACTTTAAACTTTTGTTTGCCTCAAAATTACTTTTTATAACACCTTTCAACATTTCTATGTACAAAAGCTCATGTAACAATCTAGTTAGTTTTACTTTATCGCTAAAATTAACATCTGGACAAATTCCAAATCTTTTTGCGATGTTTTGATGATGTCAGACATGCATAACTTTTAACCACAGAAATGATCAGTGTATTGAGCAAGTGTTAAGGTGAGTACCCTTAAGGTGAGTACCCTTAAGTACAACTCAACTGTTTGTGTTCATTTTGTGCAGAACTCATAAAAATCAGAGGTTAAGTAAATTGCACAAATTGGAAACTGGCTTGACTCAAGAAAACTGAAATCAAAAATTACTTTGAAAGGGAGGTATACAAAAAAGACAATAGCATGTGACAGTTCACTTATTACTCATTATAACTTAGTATTCACGTGCTAATGTCAAGTCCAAAGGAACTGGTATTTCTTAAATCAATTGAAAACTGGTGGAAAATTGCTGTTCGGGTGTCAGTTTATTAGTTTACTGTATAGCTGCCAGGTAGATAGTATGTCTAATATTTGTATAAATAAGATAATTGAATGTCAATGCAAAGAATTTTCTGTATCTCGTAATCTTATCAATCCCGTGAATCGCCTATCTCCAATTGCGACATTGCATCTCTGAACAGGGACCATCCCAAATTTACATATATTCATATTCCAAATGAAACATATGTATTTTGGTCATGTGAAATATTGTTGAATGTATGATACTGATGATATCCCCGCAATGTCCTTGTCCTTAAATGTTTTGGGTGAAAAGTCATTTTCTGGGTTTCAACTTTAGGTGTCAGTGGAGATGGCTATAAATAATAGGAGTGAGAGATGGCACGATTATTGAGAAGTCCCCTGTAAGGAGAGCAGTTGAGAAGAGCAGGTACAGTATTTATCTTAATATTTGGCCTGACATTGCCACAACAATGGAAATAATAAATAAATAATAAAAATAAAAGTACTGTAACTTTAGCACTGTATTAAACTGATTATCAAGACACTTATAAAACATTGTGTCAGATACATATTCCTTGCAAATGTTACATCAAGAATAACGCAATATATCAAAAGTTACAGCATTTTTATCAATACTTAATGTAATGAACTATATGACCAGAAACTGGTAAGAGAATGAACATGTCCAACCCCACCACTATACTAATGTGTTTTAATAGCAATTACACTTGTCAGTTTCCCTTAAATTGTGATATGTAATTATTTTTTGAAACAGAATAGAAATATAGGGAGGTACAGAAAATGTACATATTCTATAAAAGGCTGAGAGCGGTCGACAACAGCCAAATATGGCAGTTTAAAAGTCCAGTTGAAACAAAATGAGAACATTTTAAAGCTTTTTACCAGAACAAGATTGTTATGATGAATTACAAGTTCTTCTTTGTTACAAACTTACAAAGGTTTATGAATGTATAATGACTATAAATTTCAAATCATATTCTGAAATTGTTGAAAAGTATTTTGTGAAATAAGACAATTTATTTTTGTAAATATGCTCATTAGCATAACTGAAACTTTAAATTTCAGCCAATGGGCATCTTTTATCTGTCTAGAAGTAAGCAAACATAGCATTAGTCCATATCTCACTTGTAGCAAAACTTATGTTTCTGTATATGCTGAACATTTAAACTGACCACATTAGCACTGAATGGATGAGCTGTGACAGCTTGATTAATAGCTTCACCCAATCACCCAGGTCAAGGATTGTGGGCCTTTAACAACATTACTCCTTTGAATTTTTCTTGTATAATATGTTAATGTTTTTCTTCTTTTTTTATGTTAGTTTAGTTGAAAATAAAATTGGGCTATAACTGAATTATTTTTTTCATCTTCCCCCAGGAATTTCTTTCTCCTGCAACTTGTAAATTACTCGATTCCAATGTTCTCCTGGGAGTTCTGACTGGGGTTGAGTTTTGAGTTGAGCCCCATCATAGATCAATATTCTAGGAGAGTAAGACAGAAACATTGTGAATGTACATTTTTGACCACCTTGTATATAACAGAACATGTACCTGATTTCTGTCAAGATGTTTGAAGTATTTGGTCAACATGGCAGGTTGCAGGTACTCAAACACAACGCAGTAGTGATCGTCAAATGTAAATGTATTCTGAAAATCAAGCAAATTAATGATTAGTCAGTCTTCATAAAAACAAGTGCAAATGTTCTGAGAACATCAAATAGATCATTTAGCCTTCTTCCTGGGGAAAAATGCCAAAAAGTATACAGTCAAACTGATGTCATGATTTTTATCAAAATAAATATGTCCATGATTTGACTATTACGGATATGAAAGCTGCCAATTATGACAGTTGTATGTCTGGCTGAGTGGGTGCATTAATGACTAGATTTTTATTCATCTGGATTTCCTCGTCCTGGATGACCCAGTGCCTTGTTGATGATTCTGTTGACTCAGAATGAACTCATCTTTGTATTTTACACCAGGAGTTTCACTTGAATTTATGACTACACACAAAATAAATAAAAACAAGTCTGAATTGAGGGAATTATAAGGTTAACATAAAAAGAGTTGCAAAATGGTTAAAAGAAGTGATTTTGGTAAAAACAAAGGAAAATGTACATGGGCAAACAATAATTCTTTCAGTTTCCTCTAAAAAATTGTCTCACCAAACTCAAGTTCAAAATAATGTAAATACAACTTATAAGATTAATGTACTGCGCAGTATGGGATAAGTTGAGCAGTTTTTTTACAATGAAGTATTTTTAAAATGCAACATGCGTAATTATTCCTCACATCGTGCCAAGCACATGGTTAACTGAACAGGGAAAAATTCCACAGTACATCACAAGACTTGAATATATTTAACTCATCTTTGTTTTTGCTCTAAATCCGTTAACCTGCATTCTGCTATACTAAGAATGTTTTCCAAACCACAAAAAATTTCTGCTTTGGAGCTATTGACGAATTGCGAATCTAAAGAGATATGAACCCAACTGAAATTCCATTTGCACCCCCTTGAAAAAAGAAAAGCCAACAAAAATATGATTCTTTTATATATAAATGACCATACATAAATGACCTTACATAAGAAAACAATCCTAGGAAAACACTAAATTTGCAGAAAGTTTAGGAAAACCACAAAAAGCAGAAATTTATTTTTCATTATCTATTAAAATTCTCGAGAAGAAATGTGCAGAAGGATGGTCAGATTTTGTGTTCGTAGTTACTTTCATGAGTGCATTTCTTATACTGGCAGATTGATCATGAAAAGATGAGTTATGATTACTTTACTATGCATTAAAAATGAACAAAATGATTTATGCTTCTCTAAGTAATGTATAGGGTGAGATGAGTAAGCAAGGAATTATACAAAAAAAGTGAATCTTCAATTTAATGGTAAAAGTGGGATGAATAAGTAACTCCTTTAACTTTTAGACATGTAGGTTGTAGGATTGTTAACTCACTAGTAACCTGACTGTACAGGATCCACCATAAGCATCTGCCCTGTTCAGGTCTCGAATCAGTGCAACTTCCTGAGGTCCTATACAGTTGTAGTTCAGGTGTAGAACTTTGATGGAAACAGCCTTGTATTGGTTAAATGTATCCTGGAAACACATGGCATTTAAGACATGATTCTGGGACGCCTACTTAATTAATCATAATTACACAGTTTTTATTGGTTTTTACAGCAGAAAATTGACAAAGTGCCTAATTATGTGATGCAGTTCATTTGGTTGCCTGCCTAGCATTGTATGCAGTATCTTAAACAGGTTGAAGTATAGCCAAAAGTCTGATGCTATAACCTGCTCAAACACTTGTTGAAAAACTCATACCTGGCATGATCCTAAACATAACCTTTCAAGATATTAACCACGTGAACACATATATTACATTACATAGAAAGGAATCCGACAAGAGGTGAAGGGCAAAACATTTGCTAATACTTTTGCAATAACTCAACATTCTTATGTGTAATTTGCCCTGTTGAACTAATGCTAGAATGCAGAGTGCAATGATTGCAAAGTTTAAATTAAGTGAGCTGTCAAAATATGCAAGTGCAAAATCAACCAATCAGTTTATACTGGTATAAGCATTGGATAAGAATAATAGTGTCAGTATGTAAGAGTACGTTTTACACTGACCCAAACATTCTACCTGGAACTGGTTTGATTGGGTCAAGAAGTAAGGCCGTTGCACTAATGTGGTGCTACCGTGGAAACAACAAATTCAAGGCCACACAATTCCGTTTGACATCCCAGGTATTTAATGACCTGGGGATTTCATAAAAAGAGGTCAACAGATATATTCAACTGGTCACCAGGTACACTAGAATATAAAATAGGGATGTAAACATTGCACAACAAACCAAAGAAAGCAATTGCCAATGATATTTCTGAGAGCACAAGCACAATCAGCACATGTGGCTAATTTGAATATTATTTATGTGAGAAAGGTCAAAAATGTGCCACACTTACCTCAATTTGGTAGGTGAGTGATAAACATTGAACAGTGTTAGGTAAACATGAACAGCTGATTCAAAATATATTTTTCAGAAACATAAAAAACTCAAGAGTGAACACTGCGATAAATATAATTACTCAAGAAAGACAGTTTCACAAGCATAGAAAAGAAGTCTACACTAAAGTAAGAAATACGTTACTTCTTCTTGGCCTAAACTATATTCATGAGAACTCATATTTTCATTAATGACACTACTTTTACATATTCCTATTTTAATTGCTGGGTGGTGTCCATCTATTCATCATGGACTAAATGCATATGATTCTTACAAGAGCTTTGACCAGCACTGAAGACTGTCCTCTCCCTATGCATTCTATAAATTTGTATCGACTGGCCATCAATGGCATGTCCTTTGTTGGCTGGAACTGTCCCTCTATATTCGTAAAACAGTCTGAAAAATAAAGTAGAAATCTTCAGGACCAGGCATAGGGAAGAAAAAACTTTGATGCAAAATTTTAACCATCAAAAAAAGTATATGACAATAATATTTCTTACATACTACTAACATACACTGTGGAACAAGATTAAATTTTATAAAACATATTACAAATCATATTGAAATGTATTCTATTGATATCTACCATCTGTGTTATCAAGTGATGTTTCACATATGCCTGCATTTTGTTTTAGGATCTCTGTCTTTGATTTTGTAACTTTATCAATTAGACTTTGTAGTCCAGCTGTGGCATAGGTGACGATATGTCGTTGCGGTGGAGGATGCTGACATATTGACTCCTTCCTGCAATACAACACTGAATTTAGAGATTTTTAAAATAATTTCATAAAAGTCTATTTGTTTCAATCATACAGATCTATTTAACATTTTGATCTTTTTATGATTAAGGTGACGAATCTGGATGGTAATCTTTATAAAACATACACAGATATGTTTGTTTATTTAAATGTGAACGCTATGTAAATGATGATGCTCTTGCCTATATAATATATTTCCATAGGCACAATATATAATAATATATTTCAGTAGGCATAATCCAATAAATATACTTCAAAACTGAACCTACAGAAATCTTTTAACTTTAGGAGGGGAAATGTTCTTAATTCTTACATGGTGCGATATTTTGCATGTTCATCCTAAAAAGCTAAAATATAATAAAAATATATTTGGATATAAAACAGATTATTCTCTTTAAAATCTAAAATGTGCAAAATAGCTTGAAACAACATTTCCACGTCACAATTAGGATGACCTATGAGATTAGGAACACTTCCTTCATATGCATGATAACCCATTGTAAAGTATTCTCTAAAGCTTGTGAAGAGTAAACATATCTACTATTGCAAAGGTTTACATGCTGAAAGAAAAGGAACATCTGTCAAATATCAACTAGTTGGGTAATATCTACCACCTTTCAGTTTTTATAGTTTGATCAATGCTTTAACTTCCATGGTCAATATCCAGGGCTGTACGTTGAATATCGACCACCAGAAGCGAAAGCATACAAAAAGACAAATAAGAAGGGTGGTTGTTTTACAAATCTTTTTGATATTTAACTGACTGGTCTAAGGTACACTACTTGCATCAAGATTCTTGATTTCACAAAAAAAAACATTCGTTCACTTTCATTGTTTGTTTGTTTGTATCGCTCTATGCATTATAATGCCGCTTCGAACAAGTGTAATTAATTGGAGAACACAATTGTCGGACAATTACTGGCATAACTTAGCATAATTTCCCTCAATAAAATGATAAAATCATAATTACCATTTCAAAGTTAACTGAGCACATTTTACTAAGCAATTCTGGATGTTAAAATGTTTAATTTTGCCAACTGATGAAATTCGTGAAAAAATCAAATGAAAATGTATTTCCGGTTGGTGGTTTTCTTACCTTTTTGGCGAGTTAAATGCACTAAAATAGCTCATACTTGATTTATATCAAAGGTTTACATAGTTTATAACTATCGTATGGATATCAACTATATTGCACCACGGATTAATGAATTATATGCCATATAACATAAATATTTTCAAATTTCAAAATCTTGTCCGCCATTTCTGATCTCGCGAGTTTATGGACTAAAATCTAGGTCACGAGAAAATGCGAGATCAAAATAAAGACGACAAAATCTGCACGAAGATGGTCCGATTACATCACTGTTTTATGAGATAAATACTGCGTGTATTACTATCATCCTAGCAGCACTATTTAATGTGATACTCAGGCATACGTAGGACATAAAAGTAGAAGTTGTTAGCCATAAATGAAAGTGAAACTTGGCGGGAAAAACGAGAGAATTTCGTTTGAGCGTGCCCAGTTTCAAGAACAGCTGATTGGCTGATGGCCAACCATATTTGAAGGTGATGTCATCTTTCAAAACAATCACGCAAACTCTTTGACTTGTCAGAATAAAAAAAACATTTGTAGTACAAGGAGTAAGAATAATATCACGTAGTATAGGATACTTTTAACAATAAGGTAAGCTTTTAGGTCTTTGAATTTCTTGCACTTATTGACCCTTTCAGGATTTACAGACTTACTCAATACAAAATCATTGGATTTTATTTGGAACTGCTAAAAGTAGATCTAAAATATATACCTGGAACATACCTGAAAGTCTGGAAAAAGATCAAACAGCAATTGTCAAGAAATAAAACCATACTTCCGTTATGGTGCATTTTGATCAAATGCTGGTAGGGTATGGGCTTGGCCTTTTGCAGATTATTGATGATGTTGACATGTAGGTTAGGTTAGTCAGGAAATTCTGCCTTGAAAATGTGGCAACCCTGAAATTAATTGCATCTATAAAGAAGACAAGTTATCTCAAATGGCTAACAGAAGCTGATGATGCTAGTGGCTTTCACTAATTCTTCTTTGTCTAAGACACTGTCATTTTGTCGAATGAAGTAAGTACTAAGTAAGTGTTGTCAATAAGTAATTCAGTAAAAGCATAAACTTTTTAGAAATCACAAACATTATTTGAAGTCATCTCCCAAAAATACCAAAAGGTACAGTCCTGATTCTGTATTAGTAAAAATAAATATTGGGAAGTGTAATTTTGACATAATTTTTGAATTATTTTTACTTCGAATTATGTTGCATACCACAACATGTAAATATTCACATACATGTAATCTTTTGGAAATTATTACCAGGTTCATAAATTATTAGAAGCTGGAACCATGAAAATTCTCATCATATGAATCTAAATGTTAAATTACACATTCATATAGAGTTTGAAAATATAAGAGTGCAACGAGGAATGACATAGTAAAAATTGGCAACATGCCAGCTTTCTCTGTAAACTTTGAAGTTTTTAATTTAATAGAACCATACTAATTTTTTAAAACTTAAAATCCTCCCTATTAAAAAAGGAAAGAGAAATCTAGGAATTTAGTCACAATGGATCAGGCGACCCCAAAATATTATTGTTGGAATTTTTGTTATACAAATGCCTAAGCCAGAGTGAGGTCTTGATTGTTAATGTCAACAAGAAGTCAAGTGACATTGACAAAATAATCAAGTATGAGATGATTGATCAAAGTTGTGCAAGCCATTGACAGTCACATTATAAAACAGTCAATAGCAATGCATTTAATGATTATTTTTATTATCAGGTAAAAAATTAAACCTGTAAATTATGTTTTACAGAAATATTTCTTAAATCATTTTTGATCATACTTGATAAATACATTTCATGGAGCTAGTTTTTAGTTTAGTTTTATTAGATTTTTAAAAGGTTGTTATTTTGAATCCAGAAAGAAAATGAAGCTTAATGGCTCTCATCTTGAGAAATATAGCACAAATACCATTAGGTCTACCTTGCCATATTAGATGATTTGTTGTATCATAAATTGTTATAAATACTTTATCTATCATTATACAAAAGTTGTCTAAATTCTGGCTCTTCACGCTCATCTATTATGTTCTAAGTACAGTGCATTTAAATGGAATGTAAAGGTTTGTAGAAGGTGAAGGTTTCACCATGTATTCATGAGATAAAAAAATTTGAGAAAAAAAATCATGACTTGTAAGTTAAACCAGTTTTCAGATAATGAACTATTTGAGGCATAGTGCCTAGTAGCATGCGCTGTGGAGATGATTGTCTTTGATTTATCGCAGTTCTGTATTAGTAATACTGTGTAGTGTTACTGCGAACATGAAGACTTAAAGTCCCTGGTATGACAGTAACACTTGTAAAGGACATCATATTATCAAAGAAGGTTTAAAAGTTATATGAAAAAGAATAAATAGTAGTAGCATTAAATGACAGAAATTATATTTTACAAGTTTATGGGAATGAAACAAAACAAAAACCTTCCAAAATAGATTTCTAAGAATCTATTTTAACCTTTGAGTTTGAAATCAGATAAGAGTAAACTATCAAAAAGTACAGTGTTAGTTAACTTTAAATGCTGATGTAATATGATATAAAGTTGCTTAATAGCAATGATTAGAGTCAATAAATGGAATTATATGTTTAGATGACAGCTGTGTGCTGATCTCTATTTAGGATAACTACCCTGGACAAAGGCGAGATGATATCGATTTCGACCTGACAAAGTCAAATTACCTTGTAAAAGATACATGTATAAGTTAATATTAAACAGAATATGTCATCTTGATCTTAATGTCTTGAACTCAAAAACATTCCAGAAGCTATTTCAAAAAATAAAACCAGGTAACTCACTAACTTCACTTGGCAAGCTACAACACACTTATGGGGATTTTGATATGTTATGGAATTGGTCTACAACCCGTTCAAAATCTACTGATTAGTGCAAGTAACTCAACAACTGTGATGAATCGTTTCTATGGTAACCTATGAGTATCTGTATTCTTGTTTCTGACATACAGGTGTTTGCTGCACGCGTTGTTTGATCTATGTACATATTTACCTTTACAAGAGTTGGAAAATAATATAATGGAATGTTGCAGATTTTTCAATTGTTCAATTAAAAATTAATTATTTAAACAGAAGTTTAATTTTAAAATATTTTATTACTTTTGTTTCATGATTTTTTTCGTTCGATTCAGTGATACTTGAAAATAAAATTCAATGTTATGTAATTTTTACAAGAGAGGGTTATTGCTGAAATATGCGTTCACCATCCATCTCTTCCCAACTTTGTTCATTCCTATTTCTCCTATGAACTTGTGGCATTCATTTTGTAGATCTAACATAAGAACTAGTTAAAGTAATGTACATGAATATACATATACGTATATACATATACATGTTGGCATGCGCATGCGCTTTTGTATTTTTTAATGGAAAAGTCCTCCAATGGTTGCCGTTCCCACCCAACATATCTCAAGTATTTTTGAGCACCTGTTATTCCTTTTGAATATTTCATGATAAATCATATACAGCTTTCCATGTTTTGCCAACAATTTCCGATATATTTTGTCTTTCTGTTGCATTATTTTAAGGCCTACAAAACTTTTCCCTTTCCATGAATTAAAAAGAGTTTGTGTCAGGCAAACAGGAATTCCTCTTGAATTTGGTCCAAAATGTTCGGAAGCTTGGAGGATCCTTAGACACACATAAGTTTGGTTTCAACTCAGCAGTCAGCATCTTCCATGTAGTTTTCCCTAGAAACTCAATAATTAGGAAGTTGGTTAACACATCACCCATCAGTATTTTTGATATCACTGCGAGCATAATTGAGGTTCTGGCAAGTGTTTCTTAGGTCCTTGTTATTTGCTTTTTAAGATAGTATTTAATGAAATAAACTCCATGTATTTATTTACTTATTAACACAAAATTAGTGCAAATAAAATAAACAGGTACAGGAAAGTGATACAGCCGGTTTAAGTAATGATGAGTTATCAATGATATCAATTTGAAGTTTTTTGAGCTACTTGTCATTTAGTACATCTCCCCGCTGATGATTGCGGTTAAATCATCAAAACACTGGTCAGTGAGAACAGGTAGCACACTATGGAACAGTTTTAAGGAACTCGCAAGCTAGTACATTCGTAAAATAATTATGATCTAAGCATGTAGCCATTCTAACTAGGAAGTGAAGTACAATTTGCTTTTAGCAACAATTAACATTCAAATAATTGAGATAAAATTTTGACCGACCACATATTTCAGATTATTTTATTTCCTCATAATTGAGAAAGAGAACGCTGCATTTTTCAACATCTATCGTTATTGAGACATGAATCAAGACATATGTTAATAATTAACTCATACAAGTTGAATATTTCTTCTTATGTTTTGATCTCTAGATTTTTTAAAGACTTAAAAGGTATTTAATTTGTAATGATTTGATCGATAAGTTAACAGCTGTATTAGTTGTCAGGTAGCGTTTGAAGTTGCTTGAAAGTGATCAGTTCAAAAGACCCAAGGCATAGATTTGAGTCTACAGGTAGCCAAAGAGTCCAGCCTTCTAGCCTCTTTCACAGGATAAGCTGTATTGTTACCATTCAGTATCATTCGCTGGAGTAGACTATGACCTCACAGCATTAACCAATCAAGAATTTCTAACCCTTAAACCTTGGAAATGATTTTGCTTTGAGACTATTTGGGGGTTTCCCTTGAGGTCAGTATGAGGTCATTTGGTGATGTCACTTAATCAACCAATAAATGGAGAGATAAAGGAACTTAGTTTCAGTAGATATCTAGACTTTCATCAGTAAACACTGTTGCTTGATATAAGCAACAGGAATATAGGAACTGTAAATACTAGAAAAGGATATAACAAATATCATTATTGGAACTTGGCTTATAAACAGATATAGAACTTTAACTGTAAGTAGTTTATTACTGATGAATTTTATTTACTTTTGTGACTTAGTACTCGTGATTTTAATTGTTTTTTTCCAAATTAAATGTTGCTCAGCCATTGACTTTTTAATTTTTTAAAGACCGAACAAAACATTTTTAATCAAAGAACATTTGTCAATCATAAAGTTCCAACAGCAATAGTTACACAAAGAAGCACAATTTAAGATAGGAGATTCAAAACATAAGTAGAGATAAGACTTCTATGTTCACTCTTTCACAATATTGACATTTTGCATAGGACTTTGCTCCTGAAATTATGATAAATCAATTTGCTGGTGCAATATTTCTTTAGTGTATTTTTATTATGTTGGTTCTACTTAGCTGCGAAGTTTTTATTTTTATTAGCAGATTCTACCTTTGGATTTATACAGCTTGTACCAAGATAATTCAATTATTTCACTTCTATATATTTCTTTTATTTACTGCCTCTGTTATGTTGTTTTCTAATTTAAGAACAGCACATAATCAAAATGTATTCTTTGTACTTACAGATTAGTTAGTGATTAGAAGATAGAGCTAAAATGCAGAAACAGTGGAAGACACAAGATTGTAAACCAAAGATACCTGATCCCGGGAAAGAAATGAGTCACCACAAGCCCCCTATAGATGGCGACCTGGAGACTCCGTCCAAACAAACTGCTCAAGGACAACATACACAATGGCGAGATAGTGGATACTACTCACCAGCAAATACATCTAATGCTTTGGATGAAGAAACACTATTTTGCTTTTCTGATGATCTCAAAACACCCGCCATTGCTGAAAGCACCCCCAAAGGCACCCCAGAGGCTACTGCTCTGAGGGGGTCAGGAACCAATACAGCCCCACTCAGGGTTCGTAATCGCAGTACATCAGACTTTGACTTTTCACACTTAGACAGTGACTATAGTAAAACACATGCGGTCCAAACTGACCCCCATGTCACATTTCATACTGACTTTGAGGATGATGAGTCCAATGGGGAGGTTGATGATCAAGTGGAAGATCGGCTGTTCCCACAAATAGACTCACCCCCAATTGATTTACCACCTGTCTCAGCACCCATGGACATCCCCCTGTCTCCCCAGGGTCCTCACTATCGTGCCAATATATTGCTAGAGTGTCCCCACCCTGAGACTTACTCTCCATCCATAACAGACCGGGGGCAGATTTATCGTAGTGGACAAAATATCCTGTGTAGGAACATAAGCACACAGACTCCAAGTCGATCCTGCCAAGCGCTACAAGATGCAATATCTCATCACGCGAGCACCACTCCGCCTTCTCGTTTACAAGTTGGTGCAGGCTTGCCACAAGGTCATGTTCGCGTCAGAGGTGGTGGTAAGTCTCTTTTATATCTTACACACTTCAATTTTTAAATCTGAAAAATGAATTTGAGGATGGGGTAATCAGAAAATCTTTATGCCACAGTGCATAAAATATCACATCTAAAAGGATGAGTTCAATTTTTATTTATTTTTGATATTTGGTAAAAAATTCAGCTCAACAGGAAAGTAAAAATGCAAGCTGGTTATAAAAAGAAAAAAGTAAAATTTATTTTTATTTAAATAGGGCATCATAACTAAACTGACTTAACTCAAAAATAGTACAAATTACAGTTAATTGAGAAAATTAATTATATCTATACTGAATCATACCTGATTTGGAAAAAAGTTCAATAATGATTGAGAGAATTAAATATTTAATTAATATAAAACAAAATCTATCTAGATTTCACCAGTTCTTCGAAGAACATATAACCAGTAATAAAATCATAAAATATATTTGCATATCTGATTTATGAGGTCTTGCTTAAATAGAAATTAAAGTTTCGAAGGTCATAAAAATTCAAGTTCACAATGACCTATTAACAGCATTCATATGCTAAAGAACATGTTTAAAGTACTCCACTTTAGTGTGTTTTAAGATTCTTTTATACTCAAAAAGCTAACAGGATGCTGTGGATTCAGTTCATCGTCATATTTTGATTAATTATTTTTTTACTCAAAAATGTTTTATCAGCAAAAGTTACACAAGTCGTGAATAGTAGATTCCATACACGTGGGATGCCACTCTTTCGTGAGTTTTATAAGGCAGCTATTAACATATTGGTTTAATGATCAGAAAAACAAAATAATTGGGTTAAAATATACTAAGTTGCAGATTTAATTGTTATTATATGCAGACAGTTGTTATAGCATGTATGTCATACCTTAGTGTTCACCTCATGAGAGTTCATAGGTGAATTAATGGGATTTATTAAAATCTTCAACTTTATATTTTTCAATTTTTTTCAGCAAAAATAAAAATAATTTAATGTAGGTACAATGTTTATTTTGCACATGAAACATTGCACATTTATTTTGTCAGATAATTAAAATTCATTAAGTTCTAAAATATGATATAAGTGAGCAAAGTTGGCAATATTAGAGAATTAGAAATATCAAATGAGGTCAATTTTTAAAAAAATGATAGTCTTTATAATTATCTCCTTAGAAATATGTATTAGATATTATTTGATATTTTTTTCAAATGTACAAATGTACATCATTTGTGAAATAATGATATATTATATAAATTGAAATATTAGTTTACTGCAATAACAAGGTAGGAAAAATCGAGGAAGCATGCCAGATAAGAAATAAGAAAGAAGTTATGTTAAAAATAAATATACAGGATAGATACCTACAACATTTTAAGGCTAATAGACAAAATACTAGTTATTTAAATGAGAAAGGAAATAGGTCTAACCAACAAATGTGTCAGACAATTTTGGCACAATAAAAAGAAGTTAAAGTTCAAAGAAAACCGGTATTTGAAGTGTAATTGGTTTAATTAGCCCAGATCTTTGTAATTATCTCCATAACAAAATAGGTCAAATCATCAGATATTTTCTTACATTTATCTTACATTTAGAAAGAACTGCTCGTGGAAATCTGGTGTTTAAAGTCCAATGAATTGGATTACCTCAGATCTTTAATAGAGATTAACCCATTTGTTCCATTGCCAATATTTGCCGCAACTTTCACTGTGATGATGTCACCAATAGACTCATAGGGTGTGGTTAGATTACAAACTCTGCGATTTATTGTTACCATAGAAGTTAGTCATAATACATATTATACATAAAACTGTTTATTCAATACATCTAGGGCTCATTTTTTGTAATACTTCTATTGAATAATTTTAACAAATTATCCAGGATATTATATGCTGGTTTATGAGTCATTAGCCATGGAGTTTTATCTTGTTTTATTTTTTATGGAATCGTCATTAGTTTTGGAGTTTTATCTTGTTTTATATTTTATGGAAATGTATAGTTAGTATAAATAGAAATACATTTTCATTATTAATGCCTCAATCTATTTTAAGTCCAACATTGTTTTAAATCAGTATGATCAAATGATAATGAAAATAACAAATTACGAAAATTGATTTGTTATTATTTTGGTTAATAAACTAAATGTATTCGGCTTGTTCAGTCAGTTGTTCAGATTGAAGTAACCTGTCAAGTGCCACTCCTTTATTCATGAAACTGAACTATTTAATTAGAACATGAATTATTTATCTCTATTTAATGATTGAGGGGTTGCTACTTAAATATGATTATTTTGTCATGTAGAATTAATTTACTCCTCCCTCTATGTAATCCTTTCTGCACGCTGGCAGGATTAACGCACCAATATGTCTTCATTATTAAGAAAAGATTAATTTATGTATTCTCGTTCTATTGAGAATTAAAAAAAAATTAAAACTTTTTTTTTGAACTTGTGAATAATGTTTTCATTTATTTATAGATTCATGTTATACAATAGATTTTGACTCCTTTGATTTTGAATTTGTGCCAGTTTCATCAAAGGGAAATTATTTGTCATTCTCTTTAAATGGATTTGTCACAAAATTTCAACACTTTTGTCATCTATAAATATATAATTACAAGACAAGTTTATATTAAGGTTGATAAAAGCATGTTTTTTTGATAATGTCAAGATGTTTGATTATTGCGTATTAAATGCCAATATCAATAATATTTGTTCTTGAATGTTCTACAAATATTATGTTGATATATTTGACACCATGATATAATGAACTTTCCAAGTGAGTATTACGTTAACAACATGTGACTTTGAATCTTTATTGATAAAGAAAATACTAGAAGAGTGGCCTTGAATAACAAACAAGATTTTGGAAATCTGCCCAAATTATTGTGAAAGAATAAATAACTAAATCTGTTACTTCATAGATTAGTTTTATCAATATTTTATTGTGAGAATGGAAACCCCATTATGGCATTTGTATGTACATGTAATTAATTCTATTGAATCCCATTGAACTTACTTGTATTTATAATTGTATTTTTTTACATAATTGTGAGACATTGTCGAATGTAGAAACAAAAATAAGTACTCAGACAAATTGAAAACAAAACAAGTACTCAGGCAAATTAAAATAGAAATATTGCAGAAAAGTCTGATTGAGTGCATAAAGAGCATTATATATGACATCTTTGTTATCATATATGCTGCAACAATAACAAATATGGCATTATCCAGAATGAGCGTCTATAAATGTCATTAAACCATTGTTATTAATTATATAAATGTACCTGTTGTTTGTGATACATTTAACCATTGGGCATCATAGACACAAGAATCATTTTCCTTCATCGATGTTCTCCTTTATATGTTATGCTTTCAGTTCAACGTCAGCATTTTTTTATGAAGTTTCTGTTGTGTTCATAGCATCCTGCACAGTGACTACACATAATGATCAGTAATATATTATAAAGTATATATTTATTATTACACACTTGTTATACTGTTATGTAATCCCTAGAAATATATTAATAAAAGGGCTTCTAAGGATAGAGTGCTTTTGAGGTCATTCATAATAAGCCCACTGGATTTCAGAAATAGTTGGCAGAATTTGTCTTTATGTAATAGATTCATCAGCAGTAAACCTACATAACCATATTTGACATGTAATCTCATACATATTCGTATTGGTTGTATTTGCATGTTTTCTTATTAAGACAACTGGCTAAGTTCAGTTTCTATATCTAGAGGATCTTTTGGATATTCAGGTTTGGGCATTTTATGAAGTAAACGACTGTAATTGAAGCTTAAGTTTCAGTTTGGATATATACTCTCGTACCTGCAAAATCTTGGAAATATAGGATAAATCTTTCTCCGTGATATTAGGAATTATTAAGAATTTCTGTAATTTCTGTAGTATAACGCTAAGGAAGCATAATTTAGAAATGGCTGCAAAAGAAGATCATATTGAATACGATGAAGTTGACTTCACTTGTCAGTCATATTTCGATCGCTATCAAGTTTATGGCGATACAGAGCTCTCATCAGCTCTTCCTACATTCAAAAAATCAAACAGGCTCATGCATCAGGTCTCTCAAACAGACCTTGGGATCCCTGGTTTGGAATTTCCCGATTTTGAAAGCTATAATTATGACATAGATTATCCAAGTGGTTTCCGACCTCTCTCTAAACGTCTTTCTGTCAGTGAGGAATTCTTGTGTGTCACAGCTGTAAAGTTAATAAACCGTAAGAAACTTAAAGAAGCCCCGATTGTTAAATGTGCAAGTGTTGACGGACTTGATGATCTTCTTCTCGATGAATACTGGGGATCAACAAAAAGTGAGTTTCATTAATGGCGTAGACTTGCTGCCACAAGCAATTGTTAAAATTGTGTCTTTCTTTTTATTAACCTGGGCCAATTATTGAATTAGCTCAGAGCTTTGTGGTAGATGATTTGTTTAACATGCAAAGTGTCGTCTTAAAAGTTGTCAAAGTGTTACTTAGAGGCCCTGGATTGTAACGTTCTCTATTAGGTAAAGATATTCTTAATTCGATTCCGGAAGCCAATTAATAGTTCATAATTTATTTAGACTCTTTATATTTATTGGTAGGTATATTTTTAGGATTGATCTCACATATGTGTCTACTGTCAATATCATAGGTTGTTCAGGTTATGAACTTTAACCTTATTCGGGACATCTGCACAGTCTAAGTCTCAGTAGAGTATATATTGCATTAGTACTCACAAATCAATGGCCTTTTCTTCAACCCAATATTTTACCTTATCTGAACTCTGCCAATAACTGCAGGTAGAAAATTATAAATGCATAATTGAGAACAGATTTCTTGTAGAATTATACTCCTTTGATAGCTGTCCCGGTGGCTATATATTCATCGATTTTTTTTGTTGTTGTGTCATTAATGAAGTTTAAGTTAAGGTCATTAGTTTTTTAAATTTAAGTTTCTTGTTTTATTTCTCTCATCTTCAGTTTTTCATTGTTCAAGTCTACCTATGAGGAAGAAGTG